TATCTCCCGCTGCCAAGTCGTAATAAAGGTTACATCCTATTTACTGGAGTACTGAACAACATTTCCGTTGCATAAGAACCTTATTTGGCCGTAATGATTGTTCCAGTTATTAGGTAAACCCTACGGTGTTAACAGGGAAACCAAATATGGCTTGATAAAAATGTTTAATTTTGATTGCAAAATGTACGATATAATATATATGAATAGTTTTTTTTTCTTTCTGGCAAGTAAGCATGGTATGAGTTGGATAATACCCTTTGAGTTGTCCATTACCAGGAATGAATGGCCTCCGCTGCATGTCAGATGGTTCGCACTTCCCTGTTAGCATTAATTCCTAATAATGGACAACTCAAAGGCATTATCCCTTACTTATTATGAAATCTTTGTAATCAATTGCTATAATTGTTGAATAATGCAACATAATTGTTGCATTCAAGGTCCTGTAAAAATGGCAGTGGCATAGTGGTTAAGATGCATACCAAATTACTGCAATGTGGACTCTTTGTTGCATATCAAACCTATATTTATACATAATATACTTATATCTTTCTCTGTATATATTTCCTGTCTATATCTACATTGTAAACTACTGAATAAAGGCAACATGCCCAAATAAAAATCTGAATAACATGTCCTTTTTTTAAAGCCCTTGAGGCTTAAGATTGTTGATATTGTCTCATAATAATGTGTGTCCATAAAAAATACTCCACAAAGAAAATCAGGAGGATTTCATTGCAAGCCACAGCAGGAGTACATCCTCTTTTATGTGTAGCCCTAATAACAAAAAAAAAGATCTTAAGGACATTCAAGGAAAGTACAGTATGTACTTTTGCAGAATAATAGCTCAAGTGTAAGAATACCAACCAAGAATATCATCAGAATTCCCCTTAAGGCAGAGCAGAATAAATGGGCCACCGGCGCACAAAGTGTCCACGGCAGATACAGTATAAAAATAAATGCATGAATCCAGAGCCACAGAGTAGCAGCAACTGTAGGTTGTATTCTGGCAGGCTGATGCAAGCCAGACAAATGGGTAGCGCTCCAAATAAAAATGTCCCACACACTGTCCCACTTAGGCTCCATCACAATGCAATGAAGTATTTACCACATTGCTCCATTAGCATGCCTAATATACTGTTTAATCCACAACAAATAGTACTCTAGATAGCAGCGTTTTTTGTATTTGAGTCTATTAGTGCCTACTACAACATGGACCATAATCCAGGTTCAACAAAGTCAAAAAAGAAAAAAAAAAGGTCCATATGCGCCAAATCCACGGAGGAAGGCACAAACACAACACATGCACATACACACACTCACACTTTCAGACTGAGAACACATCTGCCCTGTAAGAGACCCAGAGTAGGACACTGCCAGCTGGCTTTGTTTCAACTTTTCACCCCCTGGGATTGGTTCTCCCACAGGCCAAATATGGAAGAGACGCGTACCTCTGTCCACCCCAATGGGACTGCACTTCCACACATACACACACACACACACACACACACACACACACACACACAGATACACAGATACACACATCCACACTAAAGTGCACATTAGGAGCAAAAGCATTAGCCTTATGTGGTCACAAGGTGGCCAGTACTCAAGTCAAAGAGATATCAACCAGCACATCTATGGTCACTATGGAGACCACAGACACTGGTGCATTTGTGTGTGTGAGCGTGTGTCGGGCAGTGTGAGCCTTGGCTTTAGGAATATCCCTCTCTGGTCCTTTCACCATGACAACAGAGACAGTTCAAAGGTCAGAGTGGCTGTGGTTAATCCAGTGGATCATCTGAAAGACAGACTGGGAGAGAGCCTGAGTGAGGCAGTGGGTGGAAGTGGGCGAGAAAGGATCTTTCTAGTGCGAAAGTGAGAGAGAGGATCTGCTGAGATGAAAGAAATGTGGGGGAGTGATCAGGAGAGATAAAGGAAGTCTTTGAGCAGTATTTGTCATTTGTTGGTTATGGACCAAACTCTGTTTGTTTCTATTTTATGAAATTTGAAGTTTTGCCCACAACAAATCAACACATCTCAGAATATGACAGAGCCATGATGTGATAATTAAAGGCGCAGTATGTAAGAATGTGGCCAAAACGGTTACTGCACTCAAATACAAAATACTGCCGCGAGTCGTGTCCGCCCCCCCTCCCCTACAGATTTGAGGTTGCTGGACAGCGGCACGCTGGAGACTGATTTGTTTGCCCACAGGCGGCTGCCGTGGCAGGGCCGTGTTGCCGCGTCCTTGATCTTCGGTTTTCCAGCGGACCGTTCGAGCAAGTCCGGCTTCTCTGCTGCTAACGCTGCTGCCGTGATACAGCTGAGGAGACTGCTAATGCTATGTACCGGGACACTGCTAATGCTGCTTGCCGTGCTGCTGTAGCTCAGTCGTAACTGTAACTGATGCTGAGACTCTACTGACTGTGTGACTGGTAGATGGCGGTGGGTGGCGCAACAGGCCAAAACACAAATTCAAAACATGATTTGCGGACCATAAAAATTTTTTTTAAATGCGAATATTCTGGCTGTACTATTGTTGTCGGTGAGATCAGTATGTTATATGAACATTATTCCTTAGTCTCTGTGACATATTAGGAGGATTTTATGACTATTTGCTTTAGATTTCTTACATATAGCTCCTTTAAGACTATAATGACCATGATCCTGACACTGACAGTACAGCATGGCACATGGGAGAAAAGAGTAACCATTATGAGCAGCTGCCATCACTACTGCCAAATTGAGAGCTAATATTAGCAGCTAATAGCAAGCTAGCTTAAACCTTTCTGCTGAATTAAACAAAAAAAAAACAAATTTTATTAGCTTACCTTTCTGTTTATTCTTTACCATACAACCACAGTCTGTTGATAAACTGAGACAGCCCACTTAAGATTAATTTCCTGTATATGTGTCACATGGGTATTGCCACTGCCAGGCCCCTTTAGGAGACTAGCAGCAGTACTAAGTGGATGTATTCCAATGGGAAAAGTCAACATGAGTACAGGTTATGACCATTTCCTGAGCTCCATGGTCAATGAAGTAAATATTGGACCCATTTTCCACAAACCCTAAGCCTTATACACATTCTGACACCAAAATGGCAAGTTTTTCAGACAGACAAATCAGGAGACAATTAACTCTGTCTATTGTCAAGCCGTATAGCTCTGGGTATCCAGCAACTGCTACCACCAGTTTCTCCTCCATTGTTTACCAAATGTAAACTTGCTGTTGTGATCATGGCAAAAAAGAGAGATGACATGGGGAGTTTTCCCGCTCTGAATTTAAGTTTTTTTCAAATTGAACGCTTTGGCAAAAATGGCAGGCACTTAGAGCTCAGAGACGTGAGGCGCGTCACAATGCAAACACTGCGAGCAAAACTCTTCATTCTCATTTAAAACAATTACAAAAAGCCGAATCCAACAACTAAAACGCTTTCTGTGTGAGTACCTTTGTCACCAGTATATGAGGCTAACTTACTCTATATAGCCTTTTGAAAACAGAAGGAATTTGTTAATTTCAAAAACAGCATTGATTATAAGTTGCTGCCATAACAACCTCCATGTAGCAAGCTACTATTAGCCACATAGCATCGTCATTTCTTTTGAATTACACAACAAAAACACAAATGTCATCTGCTAATATTGCTGTCTTCTCAGGATGGATCAACACTGCTGTAAACAGTATAGTTGATTATTTGAGGTCAACTTAGTGCACAGCCTTTTCAGAAAGGAGAGATCTGTTCAGCTCTGCCAGCACACCTGATTCAGCCTAATGAGGTATTGATTAGATATTGATTAAACATGCCAGGATACATTAATGCTGTGATGAAGAATCACAGATATTTCAGCTGGTATTGATTGCTGAATCCTTTCAAAGCAAAGACATTGTTATCTGTATGATTTATTCATGAACTTGTTTAGTCTGTATTATACTGTTTAAAATTAGGATAGGTGTTTAGGTATTTATTAAGTTTTTACTGCAGTAAAAACTGGGAGCAGTCACCTTTACTATCTTTTCTAGGAAAGACTAGTGCGGTAGACCACTTCTCTTTTCTTTTATATTATTTTTATGCAATAAGACTGTGGGACTTTGGGATGTCATTGATGTCTTAAGACGCCAGATTTTAACCTGTTGAGATGCAATCACTTGGCATGAAAAGACAAAGATTTCATGGGATGACATCATTAGCCCAACTGGCTGTGTGTGTGTGTGTGTGTGTGTGTGTGTGTGCGTGCGCGTATGTGTGTGTGCACTGTTTGTGTGCAGTGTTTGTGCAGTGCTGGAATGTAACCAACATTTATTCAAATACTGTACTCCAGGACAGTTTTGAAACACTTGTATTTTACATTAGTAATTCAATTTTATGTCAACAGTCTTTACAGCATATGCATCAATAATTATAATTCACTAATTTAATATATATTATTCTGGGATGGGACATTTTGCACAATGAGTACTTTTACTTTTGGTACTTTAGCATATGTTGATGCCAACACTTTTGTACTTTTACTGAGTACAATTTTGAGTGCAGGATTACTTGTAACAGTATTTCTACACTGTAGATTTGCTACTTTTACTTAAGTAACTGACCGAGGACTTCCTCCAGCACTGTGTTTGTGTGCAGTTACAAAGAGCTGACAGAATATTATTTTTTCTAAGTTTTGATTTAATTTTGTAGATTTCAGAAAAACACTCAAGTTTGTTTGCATTTCTACATGACTGCGTGTATGAGCCTGACGCGATTCTGAGGTTCTTGAGCCAAATACACTGTAATGTAATTTAGTGAACTCAAGTAAAGCATTAAAATTGTGTGCACGGATGTGCGTATGCACATGTTCAGAATTCAACGGTAATTTAATACACTCAAGTGAATCAATTAAAATGTGTTAGTGTATTCACGCATGTTGTGGGTGGATCAGTATGAGCACAACGACCACTGAGCAGAATGTTACATTAAATTTAATTTAGCAGCCTCTAAAGATTTTGCTGTCTCTCACCATGTGCACAAGAATGCGCTCTCCTGTGGGATGGATGGCCAGGGCCTCGTCATACAGGCCTTTGGCTTCGTCCAGTTGGCCCCGGAGCTCGGCCAGGCGGCCCCGCTGCAGCAGCACCGAGTACGAGTTGGGGAAGAGTGAGCTGGCCTCGGATATGCAGAACTGGGCCTCCTTTAGCCGACCGTCCGCCATGAACAACTCCCCTGAAGGAGAAGATGGAAAAGGAGGAGAAAAGAAAGAGGAGGTACAGGAGGGAGAAAGGAAAGAGAGTGATGCAGGGAGGATGAAGCAGGATAATAAGAGGTGAAGAAGGATAGAAAGCAAGGAAGGAGAGGAAAAGGGAGTCAAAGGAAGGAAAAGGGGGTGAGAAAATGAGAGATGAAGGAAAGACGGAGGAAGGATCAGAGAGAGAAGGAAAGAACAGAAATATATTAATCCCATCAGTGACATGTGAGAGTGACTGAGATGACTTAACTGTGAGTTCAGCAGCATTATGTTAATATAAACTGTACAGTACTCAAATACAAACACAAAACACTGCTCTTGGATGGACCCCCAACACACACACGTGCGCGCACACACACACACACACACACACACAAAGGCAGTGTGAAAGAGAGAGTGGGTGCAATGAAGTGCCTGGGAAGTCATGAAAGTCTTGCCTAAATATGGCCATCGCATACTAACACTGCCTGCCTCCTTTCTTTGCTGCCGCTGGGAAGATGAGGACAGACCCCAGGCACACACACACACACACACACACCCCTACACACACCAATACACACACACACACACACACCCCTACACACACACGCACACTCAATCACGCCTACATGCAAGTCATCGTCCAATAAGACTTGGACACAGAGCTGACCAGAGGGTCCGCCCCTGGGACTGGAGCAGACCAATATCAGGACGGGATGCTGACGCAGAGAGCTGTCAATCATCCTCCTGAGTGGACGCTGGGTCAACACTCAGAGAAACCCTGAGAAAGAAAGTCTTCACCTCTGACAGCAGTCAGTGTGCGTGTGTTACAGAGAGAGATAGTGAACTGTGTTGCGTAAATATATTGCACACGCCGTCTGCTCCTGAGCGCTGTGTGAACCCATGTGTGTGTTTGGTAGCGGATGTTTTGTTTGTTTACCTGTGTCTCATAGATGCACAGATGGGAAATACTTAGTGCATGCATGCTACCTCGGCAAGATGAAAAAGAGCCATTTCCCAGCCTCGGGGTTCCTTTTCATAGCTCTACTTCGGGGAAAAAGGATTCAGTGAATGCTCCCTGGTTATGTAAGGCCTTTTCCTGTTCCTCACCTGAGCTCCCAGAGAAAAAATATTATTTCAGTGCTTGCAGCCAATCTATATGTTTGCAGGTATATGTGTGTGTTTGTAAGGTTACATATGGCTAAGTCTACCAGTTTTTTCCCCCTGTGTGGCCAATGAGGATGTGAGATTGTGAGAGGAAGTGACCGCTGAGAAGAGGAATGCTGGGAAGGAGAGAGGGGGTACAACTGGCTCAGAGTTTAGAGACCCACCCCTGCTCTCATCGTACACACACACACACACACACACACACACACACACACACACACGTAATTTAGTTTAAATCAGCAGCAAGCGGATTCTATTTTGCCTGTTCTCAGCAGAGGAATCGCAAAGTTCAAAGGTTAGACGTAGAAAATAACCTTCGAATTACAGTAGGCCACAGGGGACACGACCCCAAAGCCCCTCCAACCATCCCATCCTGTGCTATTACACGCTGGTATGCTGGTTGCATCACTGCTTTTGCTCGGCCGCTGTATAGATTCCCGTTCCCATTCTCATGCCTCATCCACTCCAGCTGAGTGGAAGGATGGAGTGTTTATTTGTGTGGAGCATCTCTGCACTCCTCTCTCTTCATTTCCTGCTAATGCTCTGCTCTCCTGTAAACTTCCACAGGCAGACTGAGGCTGAAGGGGTGGAAGTAATAGCGGTATGCATCACTGCCATTCTGCCCTTAATAGAACAGTGGCTACATGTATGCAGGTACAGCGCACATTCCAGCATAAGGTATGCAGTCTTTATCGGGGCTGAAATGGTTCTACCCACTAAATTGTTAAACATGTCCTTGTATACTGTTGTATGTGAAGGCAGAAAATGGCTGCAGTAATCACATTAAATTACGTTGTTTCACACAGTAACAACTTTATCATCTCCAGCAAAAACTGTTTTGTTGTATATCTACATCTGATGAGCAGACACCTCAATATCTATATCCCTTATGCTGCAGGGTTTTCATGCCTTTCATATATAGGTGACCCGAAGTGAATTTCTCTGACTGCAGTGCTCAAAACGTGATAAAATGTGCGCTCACGTTGTGCCAAGTGAATAAACGATATCTCACTCCCCAGAGAGACTGAGATTCAACTGAGCTTATAAGCAGGTCAGTAAGCTGTGTAAGACAGTCACACAGTAGCATCTGCACAGCACAGGCTGTGTGGAGAAGATACTCATTCAAAAGTTGCCATCTGATATTGTTATTTTTAATCTAGTTCGATCTGTGTCATAGACTGTACAAAATAATGAACTTCGCATCCGTGATGTCACCCACTGGTTTGTGAATCTGGGTTTTATGGCATGGTTACGTCATCTAACCTTTGTGTCACTGTGGTAGCCTTTTCTCAACAGATGGCGCCCACCTGTCACTCAAAGCATGCTCTTAATTATACATAACTTTAAGCCATAATAAAATTTAAACAGGTGTGTTACATAAAAATTCACTCCCATAAAGTTGTCATGAACAGGAAAAAATAGCTATGGGGACCCAAACTGTTTTATGCACCGGGCTGTAAACATGTTTATTTCCACTGTAAAGTTGGCCATTTTAATAAGGGGGTCTATGGGGATTGCGCTTTACGCTTTTGGTGCTGGCCACAAGTGGCCATTAAAGGAAATGCAGTTTTCTGCACTTCTGCGTTTGTTTGAGTTTCCATCCTTACTGAGGCCATAACTGTCTGGATATAATTGATCAATTCACTATGCTAAACCATAGATAAGTGTGGTCTAAGGATTGATCCCTGAGGTACACCATATGTTCCCTCTCACAAGTAACAGCATTACCATCAGCCTCAGCTGCATTTTGTTTTTACTGCATGCAATTATGCTAAACTAATGTGGTCAACATGGCAAACATTATACCTGCATGACAAATTTGGCTTCATAGCACTGTCAATATAAGCATGTTAGCATGCTGATTTTGTATTCAGCTCATAGTGTGGTTCAGTATACAGTTGCTAGCATGGCTCTAGACTGTTAGTCTTGTAAGATATTTATTGCTGCAAAATGTTAGATAAAAAGTGAAGAACTGGAAAGCTTTAATTGTCTGACTTCACTGTATTGTCTGTTTTGCACTTGCCAATATGATTATCATTCAAAAGGCTTACTAACACTGGAAAACACAAAACCTTGAAACCTGATTGCCAGCTGTCAGACAAACATTTCCGCATAGTCAAATTTTTGCATGGCAGCTGGCTGACTTGCACCACAAACAAAAGTGAGAAAAAAAATCCTGTTAACAGAAAAAAATATAAAATCCAATTTTACAAGAGATTCAAACCCAAAGGCCTGAAAAAATGTTGTTATAGTTGAGTTGTTGTCATACCAGCCTGCAGCCAAATGCGTTCTAGGGTGGTCCAGATATAGGTGGGCCCTTGGCGACGGGTTGAGCTTAGGTCCGACACCTCAGAGAGTGCTGCTTCCAGACGAGATACTGCAACTGATGAAGGGCTCAGCGAACCTGTGAGGGGAAGTGAAGGGATAAGAAATGGTAACCATTAGAGCTGAAAATTACTGTACCTTTTAAATCGACAGAAGGAAATCCTATCCTGCTTGGCAAAGTGATTACACTGCAAGACAATGAACACTTTAACAGGTTACAGATACTGAATGATAAGCACATGTAAACAATGTTTTGTACCAAATATGTAGTAGAAACATTTAAATTGAATTCAAAGGCCTTAAAATAGGCCAATGTAACAGAGATCATTTGTTCATTTGCCATCAGAAAATATGCGATGACAGAAGAGAGCCATTCTGAGAAAAACAAACATGACTTTAATTCTCTGTTCATTTTCAGAACATCAATAGATTTCCTGAGACTGGATGGCAATCGAACCGACCCGTGACCTTGCATGACTCACAGGTGTGGAGGTGAGTCAGATCACTGATATTTAATGTTTCAGGCAAACATAGCTTTAATCCTCAAAAGGTCAAACTCTGACCGACACACTCACCTTCCTCACTGGTATTTACACAACACCAGAGAAAAGGGAGGATGTGTTTAATTTAAAATATGCCAATCAGTTCAGTATGCTGCAATCCAAACATGTAGAAAGGCTTTAACCAGTGAGGGAGCAGACCAGTGGAGGCATCCTGGAAGTCAGGCAGGGTGAGGTGGATGGAGGGTTTCCTGGCTGTAGGGCTGACCTCTGCCCTCTCAGCCATCGGTATACTGCTGCTGTCATCTGTCTCACTGCAACACACATTCACACATGTACAGTACAGTACAAACAAAATGAAGAAACACACTCACAAGCACAGATACTACATATACAGTACTGACATAAGAATCATAAGGCTCTGTAAATACTTCACATCCAATGATTCTTGATGTTTGCAGTTCGTTTTTACATTAATACATCAATGGCCATTTAATTTGGAATAAAAAAGTTCTATCCCACCAAGCCACCCTCTAACTTATATCATTAAGGGTTGATCTGTGAAGCCAGTCAGTGCTCAGAATGTGAAACCAGTCGGGTTCTGCCTCTGTGTTGTCTCACTGTTTGTGACTACATTTAAAGGGATACTTCAGATCTTTTAAAGTGGGGTTGTATGAGGTACTTATCCATAATATATAACGTTACCTACAGTAGATGGTAGTCAGCATGTAGAAGCCAGCAGGACTAACACTATAGAAGCTAAGCAATGTCCTGCTGTGGACAGGGGCAGCAGCAAAACATCACCAAGGTGGATGGATATTTTTAATTAGGCTACCGAATCATGTCCCCAAAATGTTTGTGTTACTGACCAACAGGGGTGACGGTGATGCAGAAGAAGAGCGTGGGCCGGCATGGATTTGGTTATTAACGAATGAGCGTCAATCATAAAACCGGTTAGTTAACTGCAGGTGCAGGAAACTGTCAAAGGTCTTGACTCTTTGCAGCTTTCAACTTCTAACTGTTCATGTTGGCTTGAACACCAGAAACGTAGCTTGTGGCTTGTGTACTACAACTGATTTTGGGTATTATAACAAAGAGTGTTAACTGTCTAAAAAATGGAACCTTATAATTCCAAGGAAAAAATCAGCATATATTGTAGGTTTTACTGGCAAGCCTTGTGCTAGAAAATTAGAAAATCTATAACTTAAAATGTTATAGGATATTAATATAAAATATTTAGGCTATCTCTAGGGCTCCAGTTATGATGATGAATAATAGAGAATGTCAGTTTTACGATATAAGATGTGAAAACTCTGAAGCTCAATATCTGAAAACCACTCAGAAAGAACCTGATAATTGATTGTCATGATATATCAAAAATGCATGAGTGCATGAATACACACGCAATCTAACAAACTATGGGTAATCAATACTAAAGCAGCAAAAGGATTCTACCTCCCAGTTTCATCATGCTCAGGCCATAAAAAACACACCACATTCTCCAGTACATGATGAGCACAGTAGCCCAAATGTATGGAATGCCCTTTAAGTCAATATAAAATAAATAGATATATGAATAAATAAACAAGCCTAAAAAAGTAAATAAATATGGCTATGAAACAAAGTCTTAAGTAAATAAATTAGGTTATACATATATAAAAATGTAAATAAAAATAAATAAATTAGTCTGTATTGTTCAACAAATAAATAAATTGGTTTTTATTTTAAAAAGGACTATTTTTAAATGACTACTTTTATTAATTTCAGGGGACTTTAATGTTATCTTTCCACCTTTGTGTATTTTAAAGGGTCTTTTTGTTAATATGTCCAATTTTATTTAATTCAGGGAACTTTTATTTTATAATTCAATTTAATTTATTTCAGCTGACTTTTATTTCATAATTCCACTTTTATTTATTTCAGCTGACATTTAATTTATAATTCCACTTTTATTCATTTCAGGCGACTCTCATTTTATTTCAGGGGTTCTTTTTGTTAATATGGTCAGTTTTATTTATTTCAGGGGACTTTAATTTTATAATCCACTTTAATCTATTTCAGGGGATTTTTATTTTGTAATGCCACATTTATTTTACAGCTCATGTTATTTCCGTCTGTTATGTTCAAATGAATGGGGTGTGGTTATCTCACAGATTCAGACCAAAGCAACAGCACCTGAACAGCACTGAATCTCTATCTCTTGCTCCACACTTACTTTATAGACATATTTATTTATTTAACGTTGACTTAAATGGCATTCCATACAAATGCACATCTCGCATGCACTCACTCACCTGGAGCGGCTGACATCATAGCGGCTCTGCCAATGTTGCAGCATCTCTTCACAGGTCTGCAGGGCAGCAGCCGGGCCAAAGAGGGCCTCTTCAAGCTTCACCTTTGTGAACAGCAGACTGGACCAGAAAGTAGACACACATTAGTCATCCTGGTTTAATCTTATGCTGCTTTTTCATGTTGCATTACCACATCATGCAGGTACTTGCATACACACACACAAAGTGGACCAAAACAGTATCTGCTGTTTTTGTACCCGTACGGATATTAAACTGTAAACTGAGTGAATGAGCCTGGAGCAATGTTTATGTGGGGCCAAGCCCAGTCAAACCTGTTCTTATTATCACTGATCACATTGTCTACAATATGTACACACAACATGATATGACATAATTCAACTTGATGAAAAGACGAACAATTGTACTGCAGGTTAACAATGAAGGCGGGCTTTCAATACTGCCCTGTGGAAGAGCACTGCAGACTATCTGATATTATCCCATGCAGATGACAGTGGGTGATTGTGTTATGAAAAATAAAGAAGCATAGAAATAAGCATAAATGTACATAGTCACGTCCATGTCCAAGTGTTTGAGCTCCTACAGTAGCTGTGTAAATGCTCAGGGCCCATAAACATCTCACTGATGTATGCGGACAGAGGCACACGTGGATCGATACAAACAGAGAGGGTAGAGATAGTCATCTACAACAAGCTTTGAGAGTGGATGTACTGTGTGTGTGTGTGTGTGTGTGTGTGTGTGTGTGTGTGTTTTGCAGTGTGTTGAGAGGTTGATGAGTAGAGGCCATAGAGTGTTTCCGCTCTGCCCTTTAAGTTGAAGACAACTGGTTAAGTGATGCGGGAGTCTCTGATGTGAGCGTGTGTGTGTGTGTGTTTGTGCGTGGTAATTGCCAGAAGGGGCTCTCAGAGGATGCAGTCCGTCATAGGCATCACTCATCCATGAGTGTGAGGAGAGAGAGAGTGAGAGAGGCAGAGAGACTATGGTGTTGGGCACATCCGACGCCCGCCTGCCTCGTTGTCCACTGCCTCCCTCTTGTTGAAGGCTCCTCCAGGTCCAGGGGGAATAGAGGGAAGGAGGAAAGAAAGGACGAAAAAATGGATGACAGGATGGAGGGAGGGCAAGGATCAATAGCAGAGCGAGACGAGCCCGTGTAAGGGGAGAAAACTCTCAGTGAAATGCGCCTCGTTACTGACTCACGAGTCGGTGGGCGATTGGGGGCAGGGTGTGTGTATGTGTGTGTGCGAAGGGTGTGAGGAGAAGATGGAGGGATGTTGGAAGAGGAAAAAAAATTAAAGTGCATGTGTGTGTGGGAGGGCGGAGATTGGATATTCTGAAGTGTGGATGACAAGTGCTGCCGAGGGACGCTGTGTTAAGGATACGCCTGCCAGTAGGGGTCCACCAGAGTGTGTGATTGTGTGTGTGTCTCTAGGCTACCCATTACCAGTGTGGCAAAGCATTTAAAAGCAATGTGATGGTAGAAACCCATCCTAGTGTTGAAATGTGACAAGGTGTATGTGCGTGGGTGTGTATCATTCATACAAAGACCTGACTACTCTTGCTGTGTATCCTGAATGTGCAACATAAAGAACGACCTAAACTGCGTTATACTCTACTTTTCTCAAATAAAAGTTTGCATTTAATGGTCTCTCTGGTTTTTGTTAAGCTAAAGTCAGTGAAACTCTGCGCTTCCTGCTGATTTTTCTGTCATAAAAAGCAGAAGGTATAAACTTGTGTACATAAACATTTGGGGAAAAGTGCATTTTGACAAGAAATATCCAATCACAGAGCGGGAATATTGATGGGTGGAAGCAAAAGATTATGCTGTTGAATAAACTAATTTTATAATCTGCAGCTTAAATCAATCCATCTTTAACTTTGGAGTCAACTTTTGTTGAATTCAGCAACCATCGTGCTGCGTCCGACTGGATTCTTCTCCATGGCAACAGCTCAACAACACTAGTATTTAGAGCTGTCGGCCATGCTGAAATGAAAGCTAAAACACCATTTCTCCTAATCAAAGTTGGAATAATTGAAACACCAGACATAAACTTACATAATCAGTATGTTATCTGGGAGACTTCAGTGTTTCTATGTTAAGCAACATTAAGGATGTTGTTGAAAAAAATTGAAAACACTTCAGGAGCTGGCGGCCCACTGAAAAACAGTGAAGTACAACCAAGTGTAAATGAGGAAACAGGGAGAAAAACCTAGGTTTGCATTAACAGTCAACAATTTTGTCAGAAGCTAATCAGAAAACAGGGTAGGCTGTGCTAAAATATGGTAAGATAGACCCATAAAAACTGGAAAAAATTACAAATAAAACAGTGATTTAAGGTTGTTTTGACTAGCGCCCTGCAAGTGTGGCCACTATTTGAGAATTTACTCGTCTTTGCAGTTTGATCACACATTTAAAACCCCTTGAGTCTTTGAAAATTGTGCACATTATAGTAAGTAATATCAAACTGATCAGAGTCATCTAGGTATAGAGTATTTTCCACTTTGTTATGCAACACTCGATCACAGCCAGTGTTTCCCTTGCAGCGTCACATAAGATAGATTTCATCAAGATTACAGCACTCACAACTACACATCAGATTACAAAGGCTGTCATTTCTAGGCTCCTGAGAATGAGCCTGGTGAGTGCAAAGAGTAGTGTTTGAGGATGGATGGCAGTGAGCAGTGTAGCTCGGTGTAAACGCTCGGCGGTGGCCAGCTAAGAGCAGTGAGTGCCAGCGTAAACTCCATATAAAAATAGCTAATAACGTTCCCTCGAAAAAGTGGTACATCTACAGTACTACTCATTCTGCACTCCCACAGATCAGAGTTTGTATTCTCTGCAGGCACATGGACACATGTATATATATATATATGTGTATATATATATATATATATATGCACACACACACACACACACACACACTGTATATACAGTGCATGCATAGAGTGCATAGAGATTAACACACACAAGCCTGTGCAGACATGCTTGCTTTGTGTTGCAGAGCATAAGCCAGGCATGCATGTGCACGCTGATACACACACTCATACAGATGCACACACATGCACATACACAAACACACTTGCTCATGCTGCAACATCCCGTCAGATGAATGCAGAATCAAAGGCTGGGATTAATCATTCTCTTTAGTACAAACTGCGAGACCACGATCACTCCCCCCCCCCCCCCCCCCCCCCACACACACACACACACACACACACACACAACCCTCCCCCTCTCTCCCTCTCTCGCCTCAGCTCTCTCAATCTGTAGCAGAATCCCATTTCACATTGAAATGCATGCCTGTTTACTGGGTGATTAAAATTTCAAAGAAAGGGGAGAAACAGAGACGGAGAGATAAAAAAGATGAGAGGCAAAGAAAGAAAGAGAGGGTGAGAAAGAGAAAGGGAGAGAGAGAGTGAGGAAGAGAAGGAGAAAGAGAAAGAGAGACAGGAGCCGGGGGTAGAGGATGTGGGAGAAAAGGAGGAAGGAGAAATTCAGTGTGCTACAGTGAGCTGACAGTTTGCTGTGGTGCAGAGAGGCAGTAGCTAACAAGAATCACACACATGCATGCACACACACACACACAAACACACACACACACACACTGTGACACACAAACGTGTATGTGCCAGATTACAATCTAGCACACACGTATACCCACATCCCCCCATCCTCACAACACTACACAAACACACACGCGACTGTCGCGGCATGCCCAGCACCATGCACGATACAAGCTTTGATCTCTGATGCTTGCTCACACATCCAAAGCAAATTATATTCAATGAGCTTGTTACTGAGAAAACACCTCCTTTCACTATCTCTCTCTTTCTCAATCTATCTCTCCGTCTCGATCATTCTCTGACTGAGGTCTGTAACTCGGCCTCAGTCCGACGGGTCCCAAGGGTAGTGATATATTGTGGCCTTGTTTGGATTCATTTTAATGTGCAAATTGCAGGTTTCATTTGATTTTAGGGCTAAAATATTGCTGACAGTTAAATGTTACAATTATGTACTTCTTGTACTTTTCTCACTTGGAACATTCTTCACTGTTTGCATGTAAGCAAACATTCACAGATGTCTTTTAGGTGACCACAGGTAGACCACAGGTATTTTTTTTTCACACTTTTGTACAGATTTTGGACATAATGTTAGCATGTCTCTTTCAAACTTGCCTCCCAACAGGGAGATGGATTATCCATGATGTTGTGTTGTAGAGGTCAGAGAAATATGTGTGTCTGTTCTTTTTTGGAGATGTTTACTTGAATCTTAGCAGTAAAGTAATTCCAGCAAACACAACTCAGCATCAAGCTAACAGGTCACAACTTACTGGCTAGCTAACAATGTTGACTGTGTGTCATGGTGAGTGTAAAGACTTTTATTAATCCCCACTTTGTCAGTTTTTAATGTTCTTTGAGAAAATAGCCAGCTGGCTAAGATTTGGATAACTACTGTTCAGGACTTTTATTGTAGTAGTGTTCTTCTGCAGTTCAGTTTTGGATTATAAAAGCTGCATTAATTGCTAATGGATAATGTGTAAACAAAGATTTGTGTATTCACACAAACAGCAGACCTGTATTTATGTTATCACTAATTAAAACTGTGGCTTTTGGTCACCAGATTAATAAAAGTCATATATTTACTCTCCTTTCAGCTCTGTTTTAGTATACACCAACTCCTGAAGGAAATATCAGGGTCTTTAGCTGCTAAATGCTCAACTGTGCTCACCAGCTAGTTGCTAGCTTCATCTGTTTGATGTTTGGGGCAAGGCACATAGTGTGAAATAGTTTCCTAGTGGCAACATCCGGAGCTGAAAAATGAAACCAACAAGGAAGTGCAAAAACTGCAGTTTCACTAATGGCCACTTGAAGCTGGCTCTAGAAGCCAGTCAATCCCCACAGACCTCCATGTTAAAATGCTCAACTTTAAAGCACAAAAAAACATGTTTACAGCCTGGTAGCCTACATAAAAACATTTTTTATCTCTATAGCTAATGTCAACTGTCATGACAACTTTAAGGGTGACTTTTTAAATAACTAACCCATTTACATTTTATTTAGGATTAAAGCTGCGCAAATTAAGGTCGGGCTGCTTTCAATGATGATAGTGTTGTCTGCTTCTCAGTCAGCTCCACCCCTCACTCCTCCACAGCGCCAGTTTCTCTACCAAATATGGTCACTTCTGGCCCCCCAAAAAATCAAGATGGTCACAGCTGAAATGCCAAAATCAAGACTTCAAAACGGAAGTCCACAAATCACTGGGCGATGTCGTGGTAGCTACGTCCATTTTTTTTTTTACATTCTATGAATCAAACCATCAAACCAGCCTATTGTTGCTGGAAATGAGACTGATGAGAGCCTTGAGACTGAACAAAGATACTTAGGTTAAACTCTAAAACAATGAGCTGAAAGATGTTAAAACATGCTATAGAGCTGAGGGGAACTGCACAGTCCTTTGATCACTTTGTGTGGGTTCACTCTAAATTACACCTTTTACATTACACAGTAATATAATCCATTAATATAATATAAAAATATTGATTAGTGCGGCTTTAAGTGATTGCTGGGAAACACTGTTATGATTGACTTAAGGATATACTAACAGAATTATCAATGAGGAGAGAGGTTGTCTAACTATTGCTTATTGTGACATCACCCCTGATAAAGTTTCTATGTTATATGCTACACTATATGATACTTTCAGTAATATTCACAGTAAGTTATTCAATCTTTATGGGCAGTTTAGTAAAGCAGCAGACTAGACCGTGTGTGTGTGTGTTACAGAGCTACACTCAAACCTGTGCTGCTACTTTGAAAGAGAGAGAAAGGGATGAAAAAGTGTTTTAGCTGTCGGTCCCAGGCCAGTTGGGCCCAGATGAATTGAGCCAGGTCAGGCTAAGGCTAACATTTCAGGCCTGTGCAGAACTGTCTTTCTCTCTTCAGCTTTCAGTTTAGTGCTTTAAATATGCTTTACTGGCATGACAGATCAGTGACATTATTATCAAAAAGACACATCAGTGAATCTTAGAGGTAATAACACAGTTGCTGGACAGTCAGTAGGAACTCATTTGAATTCAGCTGTTCCATTCAGTGAACTACCACGTTATAGATTTGTATCTCTCTCTCTCTCTTTCTCTGTGACTCAATATCTCTCTACCGCTCCATAACAACAGTTTGGGAACAACAACTGATGCTGCCTGCTCTACCCATATGACCTCATGGTTACCGGGGCAATGGGGATTCCTGGCGCAGAGAGCAAAGTGATTGGCTGAGCCTGGAAAAGAGCTCTTAAATGGGTCAAAGCAGTCAAGTGTCTCTATGGAGGAGGTGTGTGTGTGTGTGTCTAAGTGTGTGATTGTGCATCTAGACAGAGAGAGAGAGAACAGATTTCATTTGTACATACAGTACAGATCAGTAAAGCTTGTGTAATTATAAAGCCATTCCCGCATCCACCCACTCTGTCTCTGTGTTTTCTTCTTCCTGTCAGGCTCTTACATTCTTCCTTCCCTTCGTTGTTTCATCAATTTGCTTGTTTTTCTGCATTTCCTCTCTCTTCCTCTCCCTCCTGATGTATGGTTGTACCCCATCTGTCTGTGCTGGGACCGTGGAGGCCAACACTGACCCCAAATGGCTGTATTATGAAATGCTTTGCTGGGCTTTGAAATGGAGAGAAAAAAACATCAGAAAGATGATGCAACACGCTTCCATATTATGGTTAGTGTGAAATAATTGGCCTGGATAGTTGATGTTATCCACGCATGGTACCATGGAGCTTCCTCCACAGCTAATGAATGTTTTGTGTTTGTTCAGGATGACGGACTGGAGTCTTTCCTGTGAGATAATGAGAGCATCTTAATCCAGAGCTTGGGGGCTATACTGCTGCTGACCTGCCTTCAATGATTTCATTTCAAGCTGGATTGTTATTTCAAAAAAGTGACATATCAGTTTACTTCCTTGAGTCTTTTCAGCCAAGACGAATATAATTTGGGAAAAAAATAATTTTCATTGTCTTTGAAATTGTTTGTCATTAAATCAGATATTTTTAGTAACTCTGATATACTTTAAAAGTTATATCATAATATGCAATAATATAACATATAACATGTATATGGATTTTAAACCTTGGTCAATCATGAAACCAAAGGTGACGGTGAAGTGGATGCATGTTAAGAAATGCCAACTCGGAACAAAAAGGTCAAAGGTTCCTTCAGTCCTTGCAACGTTTCCTTTCAAAGTGCCCAAAGCAAATCACTGAATCCCTGTCTGCCCCAAAATGATCAGAGTGTAAATGTCCAAGTGAGTTTTCAAGTGTTCAAACCTGCTTAGGGTAGCAGACGGGTGGCTTTATTTGTCAGATGACTCATTTCTGTCAGGGAAGCAGCACTAGGGCTTGGGTCAGAGCTGCAGTGTTAAAAGGGTAAGGGTGTATGACGGGCATAGGTACCGCAATGCAGGCCTCCACTCTGGCACGTCTAAATAAGGCGTCAAGTTTGTGTGTGTGTGTGTGTGTGTGTGTGTGTGTGTGTGCTTGGCCTCCAACACAGTCAAGCCGAGACACCCTATCCCTACGGAGAGGACTAGTGTTAGGATGGGGCCTCGCTGCACCACTCACTGGAGTTACTCTTACTCAAACCCACATAAAAAACACCACAGTCTAAAAAGTCCATCTGTACAGCGATCGACTGGTGCCTTATCACCAATTCACCAACACTTCCACCAACATTTTCTGTGACCTGTGTGAGTGGGATGGTGTAGTGGGCTTTACTTGAAGTTGCTGGGGTGCTGGCTGAGGGCCAGGTTCAGGGTGTCCAGGGCATGACGGTGGTGTTTCTGGGCGCTCAGCAGCAGAGTCAGCAGGTGGAGGGAGTGCAAGTCGTCCCCACGGAGAGATAAAGCCTCCTGCAGGGGCTCTATGGCTGCGGATACCTGCCAGACACACACCCATTTTCAGGTATAACTTACAATCTGCAATGTTTTCTAATCATTCATGTTTATGTACAAAACATATAATAATTTTCGGACTTCTTTGCCTATACCTGGCGTACGAGGGCCAGCTGGAGAGCCAGGTACATAGCAATCTGAGCATCCTGGGGGTCTAATGAATGAGCCCTGTGGAGGAAGGAGAAAGGATTGGTGGTTCACGGTGTGCCAGGAGAGCAAACATTTTTGATTGTCATATGAAACTAAAAAAAAGAACAGCAACCAAACTAGCAGCTCTTTGAAGTTGCTAACAGGCTGACAGCAACAATGTTAACCATCTTGGTTTAGCTAGCAAGACTAAAAATGAAATGCTACATATAAGGATGATTTGAGGAAAGCTACAACAAAACAGAAACATGTAATGGAGAATGGAAGAACAGGAACCTACTTGCTCAAAGCATGTAGTGCCTTTTTGTTGAATTCATCACGATCAGCTTTCAGAGGCGCTGGAGAGACAGAGACAGAACAGAGCCAAATGCTTTATCGCCACTATTTTGGCTTTGCTATATTTCAGCAGTAAAAGTAGGCTGTATGTTATGTAAAATACATCAAATGAAAGCAAAGAGGGTTCAACTTACTCTCCATTGGTTAACTATTAGCCTAAGCTTTAGCCAGGTGACATTTAGCTTAGCTTAGCTTAGCATAAAGACTGGAAGTATGGGGAAACAACCAGCCTGGCTGGCTCTGTCCAAAGCTATTGGACAAGATTGTTTTTACCTTGTAACTTTTTGTTGGTTTGTGTGTCCTTACCATCAGAGGCCTGTAAACTGCAGCAGAGACCCAGTGACAGGTAGGCCCGAGGTAGAAATTCTCCAGCTTCTTCCCCCATAGATGCTACACTCTGCGACAGAGCCTCAGCCTCCTCGAACTGGACACACACATTAATATACACCCAGTAAGTCACTTAAGAAGTTTAACTGTTTATTCTTCAACGGGCAGGTGAAATACTGAATTATTCTGGTCATGAGACCAAGACTCAGTCCTAATACACCCTCTGCTCCTACCACTTAGTTCTGCCCCTTTGTTTTGCGTGTTCCCTTCTAAGGGCAGTCCGGGGAAGATTTCAACCACTACCCCTTATAATTCTGTTCCATGGGGAAAAGGGACACTCAAAAATGAGAATTAGGGGTAAAAATCAGAAGTGGGATTGAGCCCAGTAACCTGTAATTTTAAACAAATAAATCTCTCAGGAGCATTGTGAAAAACTGTTGCACTGTAAAGCAGAACCTGCGACATCCTCTCGTACATGAGTGTGTGAGAAGAAAAAACTTTGCGGCACCGAGCTGTGAATGTGGCTAAGGTGCAGCAGGGGAATGGAGTATTGATGGCTGAGCCCGGTGTGAGTTTAGTGTGAGGACAGTCCGAGCAGACTCAAGGACGACGCAGAGATGGCTGAAGGACACACACACATACACACAGGCTCGCCCACACACACAGCAGTCAACTGCAGGCGGTGTGTGGCTGAGCCGAGCCGAGGTGCTCTGAGCCGAGGAGAAAGTGTGTCACTCTGTGTGAGGTATGGCTGGTGCTGGGCGGGCGGGCAGGTGGGTAGGTGGGCGTAGGGGGGTAATGCCTTTGACGGCACGCCAGCGCAACAGCGAGCCAACTGCTCTGACACCCTCCCCCTCCTCCTCCTCCTCCTCCTCTTCTTCCTCCCTTCATCCTCCTCTGCGCTCTCTCTCTCTCTCTCTCTCTCTCTCTGTCTCTTTCTCTGAATCCAGCCCTTGCGAGTTCAAAGCCTGCACACAATAGGCAGTCATTTAAACACACAGCCCGTCCATGCACATCTTAGGAGGATTAAGTTTTTTTTTCTCAGTTGAATGGTGTGAAAGAAGAACGTGTCGTTGTTGTCGGGTGAAAACCTTGCATCTGCAAAAATGCTCTTCAAGAATTTATAAAAGCAGCTCTGCTTTCAGATCGCCAGTCATGTAGTTTGCAGTGATGTCACGTTTGGAATGGGTTTCATGTGCCCTAAAATCATTTTTCATATACATGTGTAGGAGCTCTCTGAACGATATGAAGAAATTGTCATGAAGGTTTGGTCTGGTCTGTGGGCTAGTGGGCCAATGTAGTGAGTAACAAAATGTTACTGGGTAGATAATAGTCCAGTGGAGCTGATGGTGGATAATGGTGGCCCATTTTATGTAATGCCCCACTGCACTATGGCCATAGTGTCCCATTGTGATTAAGGCTGTAAGCTCCTTAGTGTCTCCGGCCTGCCGTGATCTCCAGCCACTGACAGATGTGCTCTCTCCGTTCGCCCCTGTTAGCTCCTCTTTTCTAATCTCTGACCCCTTTCTCTCTCTCTCTGTCTCACTCACCCCCCACGCTCTCTCATTCTCTCTCTCTTTTTGTCCATCCTAAATACCGCTGCTGATGTGACTCTCTCCCTCTTGCACAGATCACGAACAGCAGGACTATCCAAGCCGGCCGGGGCTTCACGGTGATGCATATCTCCCTGTGCGACCCCAGTGTCAATCCTGAAACATTAGCGACACAGTGCTGCTGTGTTATGACTTTCTATGTACACATTAAATGTTCTTTAAAGCTGACGTCCATGTGGTGCAGAATTATATGACCCAACATCACCTTTCAGCTTATCATCTTATGAGTGTTCCCTGAAGCAGAGGCAGCAGGTGTAACTAAATAAAAATGAACATGCACGGATTACAAAAACTGATCGTCCAGGATACTGTGCTTGTCTGCAGATGAAGACTGGATCCTTGCTACTCAGACTGTAAACTATACAGTTTTAAGCTTTATATATATATGTATACATATATATATATATATATATGCACACACACACACACACACACACACTGTATATACAGTGCATGCATAGAGTGCATAGAGATTAACACACACAAGCCNATGTTTGGCTTTGTGACAAGTCTGCTGACACTGACTGGTACATCTACTTCTGACCCATTGTCACAGGGTGCATGTCAATGAATTTAACACAGTTACACTGATGAGTGGTTTTCCGCTCACAGACTGTCATTTAAACCCGCCCAAAGAGGTAAAACTATACGGTATACCACAAGAAACAAGAGTAAGAGTCAACAGCCATGCTGGCAGCTCTGTGAGGCTGCACTTAGGCACAGTGGTGCTTTGAGCTAAATGTTAACATCAACATGCTGACATGCTCGCAATTGTAATGCTTATAAACTGATGTTTATCATGCATAGTGTTTACTACGTTTACCCTGTGGCAACCCCAAGGGAAGGACAGTGGGGGCTGTGCCTCCCCAGTACAATTACCAGCCCCCACTGGCAAAAATAATTATATAAGAGGCTGTGGCATGATCAATTTTTAAACAAGCATCAAGGTAGTGGTATTTTGTGAAACTAGACAACCTAAGGCATCCATTGGTACCAACCATATCAATATAGCTTGTTGGGAATGGGTCTAAATAATGCTCCAAATTATGCTAAATTTTGGCGAGGAACAACTGGCATGGCCATTTTCAAAGGGGTCCCTTGAACTCTCATGTCAAAATAGGGGTACTCACAAGTCTCCGCTTAACTTGAGAAGACTTGTTCCCAGTAAATGTTTCATTTCTTCCAATCAATGTCCTCTTTCAAATTAAAGCTGTATATTTGTCTTTTAAAGGAAAAGGACAACCAGCCTATTTGAAGAACAATGAATCACCTAACATGATACAGATACATAACACATTAAAACAGGATTGTTTTATGTAAACTGTTACTGGTATTAGTCTATGCACATCGGATAATTAGAATTATTAACTGTGAAATGAGAAATCACAGTCTATCAGTATGTGACATCTTCACTCTTCATACTGACATAGTCTACGACTGTCAAATTCCTGAAATTGGCTTTTGGTTTTGATGTGTCACCCCAAGATTTTCAGAGGCCCCATCTGGCCACCCCTATGAAAAATTCCTGGGGGCACCACTGTGTTCACCATATCTTTATTTAGCATGTTCACACACTAACATTTGCTAATTAGCACTAAATACAAAAAACAGCTGAAGCTGTTGGGAATTTCATCAGTTTTGCAGTTATTTTGTCATAAACCATGCATGAATGTGTGTATTAAATTTCATTGTGCGTCTTGTAAAAGTTGAGATATTTCAGTCTGAAACAGAGTGGTGAACTGAACGACAGACTGGCCGACAGATGGACCAACACTGCCATCCATAGAGGTCCAGAGTTGCTAACATGACTAAAAATAAGCAAACATTAGAAAAAAGTTGGAAAAATAAACTGTCACACACTTTCATTTCTTCTTATTTTGTACCACAATAATCACCTCAGGACCCGTTGTGGGGATCCTGATCCTCAGGTTTGGAACCACTGTTTTAAGAGTTGATGCCCTAGGTTGCGAGCAATTTGAGCAAAGAGGGATTTTCCTTTCTTAGATAGTTTCGTTTGAAGGATTTCCAGAGGGATGAAGTGGTGAAAGTGTCGAAGATTTCACAAGGAAAAAAGCAAAACATTGGCGAGTCAGAAAAAAAACTAATTTTGTACTGCACCGATACATTTTGTGCCTTTTTACTTTGATCATCTCCTGAACCCTCAGAATTATTATCTAGGGAGCCCTTCAAACATCTGCTAATCTGTATCCACTGTATCTGCTATCTAAACAGAGGAGTAGACAGGAGCAGCAAAAGCCATCACATAGCTGAACAGACAGGGGAAACAGCTCCACCTACAGAAAACTCATCCACAGAAAATTCAAAGGTATCACTGCAACAAGTATCTCTGGGAAAGGTAGAGCAAAATATCACAGAAAGAGCCCTGTTAGCAAAAAAAAAAAAAAAAAAATTCTAATCTTAATGTCTATGGCTTGAGCTCACAGCTCTGACTTTGAACTGCATGTGCATGTATCTGACTCCCACACATTGTTGTGTATACAAGTCTATGTGAAGGTTTTGTGTGTATTCACCCATTGCAGCTGACCAATGCAGACTTTCGCAGCCAATAGGGGCAATGAGGGATCCTCCGGTCTCATCCTGGCACACTCTTTAAATACAGACACAGCACCAACCCCCTGAAAAGAACACACACACACACACACACACACACACACACACAATGTCACTGACAAATTGTGATTCATGTGCACGCAGCAGCCAGTTATCATGCAGTCACAGATGACATAAATCGCTTTTAAGCGAGTGTATCAAACACACATCAACTGTCCTTACACAGCCCTAATAGACCCATTTAGACACACAGTCACTTAATACATGTAGGTCAATCATTAATGGACCACGTACACGCGCACATGCACTCACACACACGCACACACACACACACACACACACACACACACATATACACACACACACACCCGGCTGGCCCTAAATAGAAGCGGATCTGACGACACTGAGGCGGCCCCTTCTCCTTCTAGGGAGCAGCCTATTTCTAGAGCTCTCCATTGATCTGCAGTGTCACTTTATCCTGCAACCCAGATCAATTTTTCTGTCACACACACACATGGGTGCAAACACACACTTAGTGAGGAGGAGAGAGAGAAAGAGAGGGGATTGAAAGCTATTCCAGCTCCCTTTGATGACTCCCATTTGAAGAATGTACAGTGTTTTAACATCAAAAGAATATTTTCTTTATTTAGCAGCAAATGGATTCAATAGTATTTCCCCATCAATCAAAGCTGTTTTTATGCAGTAGCGTATGGGAGTTGCCATGAAGGACGATGCATTCTGTAGTAGATGGTTTGAGGTAGTTGAATCCCCTTTTAGTGTACTTTCTTTAGCAATTAATTTACTTGGCAACATTTGAATTGTTCACATCATATAAAACTTAACCCATCGTCCTCTCCAAGCAGACTGCACACTCATCTGTGAATTCTATTTACTGCACGTCTGGACATGAGGGTGAGGAAGGAGCGCAGCAGTGTACAGGACAGAGGTATGGCTGAAGATGGATGTCGCCTTCGGGTGTGGCATGGTGTGTGTGAGGGGCTGTTGCTGGTATATAACAAGAAATGAGCTCACCTTCCCGGCCGCCATGAGTGACAGGCCCAGCTGGTGCCAGAGGTGGAACTCGTTAAATGAAAACTTCATGGCTCGTTCCAGACACTGCAGGGTGAAATACAGACACACAAATATGTTTTAGTGATATAATTCATACAAGTGGGATGCGTAGGTACAGGTTCAGGCAGCGTCTGGCTGGGTAAACCCAAACTGAGCTGAAAAAAAGATGTGAAATGCATGAAAAATGTGTGCTCAAACTGTCCTAAGCCATTAGTAGACCAATCTTCAAGTCAGGAAAGCCAGGGTTAGGAACATTAAATTTATTCCCTCATTTTCCTTCATTTACATAGTCACTAAACTGAATGGCCACTCTTCTTGAATACATTTTTCTAGCTTGAAATGACTGTCAGTCACCACTCACCACCCACTCAGTGCTGTTCCAGTACATAATGATGTGACTGATGTGTGTGTGGACGAGCAGAGGATGGCATGGAGCGCCGCTCAGTCAGATGTTGTCAGTCATGCAGAAGTGAGCTAAACCAGGAAAAAGGTCTGCTTAATATCCTGATTAAATAACATGCACTTATTAGAAAGGCTGCTGACCATTTAACATGCAGACAAATACATCCTGCTGTATTGAGCTCAATGTAGCTAATTGTACTACTGTGAATACTGTGGGTATTTCTTTAACGATACAATGAATGAATCAAGCTGAGTATCAATTAAACATACACAAACACTTAAAAAGTCTGCTATTATGAAACTGCAATTGTCACTGCGGCTACTAGATATAGTAAATGGAGCTGTCCCTGGTTAACCCTGCTAAATCACACATAACAAATACCAGTTTAACCCCTGATTAGGGGGTTAATATGCAGAGCTGAAACTAGCTCAGACAAATCAGGATGCAGGAAACAGCAAACTGCGAATTGCCTGTAAGTTTGAATGTGAGCCTGAATGGTTGTCTTTCTCTTTGTATCAGCCCTGTGATAGTCTGGCAATCTGTACTGAGCTCCAGCCCCCCTCATGATCCTGAATAGGAAAAGTGGATGGATAGATAGATAGGTGGATGGATGGATGCCTCTACTCCACTAAGGTACAGGAAACTTTTTTACTCTACATTAAGGGTACTTGTCAGCTATACTACCATTATACTTCTTACAAATTTTTTGCAATTTTAAGGTATGTTCATGGTTAAACTACCCACAGGTAAAAATCTAGCAAGTAGCATTGCTAACAGGACCAGAAGTCTATCTCACAGTGCTTCTTTGAACCATGCTTGCATGCTCAAAATGACAGTTTTACAGTTTACAACGCAACATTCTTGTGAGGCCAAACGTCGCAATAATCTGCTGTATTAATTTACTTCATTCATTATATATAAAGACGTGACTGACTTTTAGAAGTAACAGGTTGTAACCTCTGTAACTTCTTAGTTAGCTAAATGCTAACTTAGCATTTTCTTCAGGGCTTCCGCTTACGGACCAAGGGGCAAAGAGGGCTGATCACATCGGTATGGTGGGCGAGTCATGTAGCTGATGGGTGGGTCACTTAACGGCTTCAGCCACAGCTATATCTACTCAGGTGAGTTTGTAGTTTGTTAGCATGCTAACATTTGCCAAATTAGCACTAAACACAAAATACAGCATAGAATGAGGGGATGCCTTTTTGCATGTATGTTTTCATGAACAAAGGCATTCAATATATTTACCATGATGATGGCGCAAGAGCAACATCTTTGGCAACTCCAAAATTATGACAATTCACTTTGTGGAAAATATGAATGTGTGTGCCAAATTTCATGGCAATCCATCCTATAATTGCCAAAATATTTAACTTGATGGCAGAATTCCAACCTCAAGGTGGTTGTCTTTTTTGTGGTATGGAGTAAGTGTTCAGGTGTTTTTCTTCATGTAGCCTATGCAGCTTTTTTTGATAGCCTTGCACCTACATGTTCCGAACAATTACTCTCCTTTAATCCATCCCACGGACCAAACTGGTGGAGTTAAAAGAGTTAAAAATGTCCTGAGTCCTGACCCTTAACCAGTTACTGCCACATGAATGCAACCGAAATTTCAAATGAATAATTTAACATATACAATAATCCATGACACTAAAAGAAGTAACAGAGTTTACTCTTATTAAATACATTTTGAGTGCAGGGCTTTTACTCATAATGGAATATTTTTCCACTGTGGTTTTACTGCTTTTATTTAATTGCAGGATTTGAATACATCCATTATTGCCATTAGCTAACTTTATTCTGCAAAAAATTCAAATCATTGAATTTTTCACCATACAGCATTTTCGCTTAATTATATTCCTACAAGGATGTACAGTAAGATGTATGCATCCAACCATATAATAATACTTATACACATACCTGTGTATCCTCCAACTTAAATTTGATATTAAAATCAGAACCGACTGCAGACATCTCATAGATTGATTAATGCTTTGGTAAGTCTGTAATCAATCAATGTGAATTTTATTCATCACATCAGAGATGGATGACACTGACCGGCTGACATCTAATTCTTAATAAATGGCCCATACTGGCCTCATATATCAGCAAACTGATCCACTGGTCTGAGTGGAACTACATCGGTGTATGTGAGTGTGTGTGGTCTTCCTTATAGAATGACTGATGCTATCTATGAATCAGTCAGACAGGTAGACAAACCTAATTTTAGACAGCCCCTCAACCTCCGCCTCCCCAGCTTCCTACATCTGGGTAGAGGTCACATTAGGGGGATAACAGAGTTTGTCAGACAAAAAAAAGTTAGAGAAAGCATGGAGGAGGAATTTGAATTGAGATACTGAAAGAAAAATTGGAGAAAGAGTAGAAAAAGACACATAATCCCCTTGCTCAAAGTGATAAGGACGTTCATTAAAAAGTTTGGCAAAGGCAAAGCTCTCACTAACACATCTCTCACACTTTTGCTCTCCTCTCCTCAGACCTCCAGCATGGAGTGTGTGTGTGTCTGTTTGTGTGTGTGTGTGTGTGTGTGTGTGTGTGCGCGCACGCGTGCGTCACTGCACCTCGGAAAGCATGCCATACTGCCCCCTCCTGGCCATGCCGATGGTGAGCAGGTCATAGACAGAGGTGGCATCCTGCAGGCTGGCCTGACGAGCTTCGGCCTGGTCTGGCAGACGACTGATCACCGCCTCTCCGCTGGCCTGGATGGACAGAGATGTTGAGTGAGGAAGAGGAGGAGGAAGGAGGAAGAGGAGGAAAACTAAGGAAGGGAAAGGTGGTGATGCTAATAGTCTCAGCAGAAAGGTCCTCTGTTAAAGGGAGCGTCTATTCCTTGTATGTGTTTTGAAAACAAAGAGGTTCAAACTGTGGAGTGTAAGGGAAGTACTAGAGATGGCAGTGTGTGTATGTGTGTAGGTGTGTGTCTCACCATGGACTCTGTGATGAGCAGCAGCAACACAGCCTCCTCCACCACGTCCTGAGGACAGAAGCAACTGCCAGGACACAGGAAACAGGAAATAGTACCAATAACAGGAAGTCTATCCCTCTCCCTCTCTCACACACATACACACACACACACACACACACATACATACACGCCTTGTCCAGAGGTAGATTGTCAGATTGCTGGGAGTGTCCAGTTTCTGTCTCACTTGTGGCACTGTAACACAATCCGGACCACCCTGGGTGTATCACTACACAGCTCTATCTCAGATGTCACACACACACACACACACACACACACACACACACACACACACACACTGGCTCCTTCATTTCTTCCATCTCTACCTCTCCCATCCCTCTCATTCATCACTTTCTTTGCCTCCCCTCCCTCTCCGCTCGGCTCCGTGTCCTATTAAAGTACATATTTACCAGACACCGCCGTGGCCTTTTCAAAAGAGGTAACTGGTGACAAAAGCCATGAACAATACTCAAGTACAGCTTTTCCTCAGAGGTGAAGTCTCCTGTTCCCCCTCTCCTTCTAATCTCAGACATGGATTTAGATCTTCACTTTTGATAGTGTGGGCAGGATTAGTCATGTGGTGGTGACTAAGTATGGCTTGCAGGGCCTGAGCAACGAGCGCAGGATCCCTGCAAAGAGGGAAAAGTAGAAAGGAGGCAACAAAACGCTGACACAATTAAGTGTGCTGATGCAGATAACCAGCCTGTCATGTCAGGACATTCACATCCCTTGTGAATATTATGTCCCTTTATGTATGTCATGTCATGTCATGTCATGTCATGTCATATGCTGTGCAATGTCATGTCTTGATATGTTATGTTATGTTATGTTATATAATGCTATGGTTTGTTCTGCTTTTTGTGATATGTCATAGTATGATTTCCACTTTCAACATGTGAGAAGACCATGCAGCAAAAAAAAAAAAAAGAAGAAGAAGCCAACGTGGAAGTGCCAAAAACTGCAGTACCTTTCAATGGCCACTTGAGGCTGGCTCCAGAAATCTCAGTAGGCCTCCATGTTATAATGCTCAACTTCACAACAGGAACAAACATGTTTACAGCCTGGTACAAAAAATGGTTTTGGTCTACAGCTAATTTAATCTAAATTTACATTTAATCAAGGCTTTAAGTTGCATGTGACCAAGGGTGCAGCTGCCTTGAGTGGCACGCTGTCTGTGAGGCTTCACCAAAGTCTGTGAGCCAGATTCATCCCACCCTCCTCCACAGCTCCACCTTCTCATCAAAGTATGGCCACTTCTGGCTCCAAAAAAAACAAGATGGTGATGGCCGAAATACTGACCTCAAGGTTTCAAAACAGGAGTCCACAAACCAGTGGGTGATGTCTGGGCAGCTACGTCCATTATTTTATACAGTTTATGGAAAAGATTCAGAGGCTGCTGTGTCATTTCACATCTGACAGGCTGTAGCAGCGAAGTAGAAAGGGTTCAGCTAGTCCAAAACTGTAAAAGGTTTTAAACACAGCTGTGTGCTGTGTTCCTTGACCCCGCACAGGTGATTACAGGGTAATTAAGGTAATTGGTTTTAGCTTCAGATTTCTGTTTTCCCAGTCCAGCCGAACACATCACGAACTGCTGAGGAAAGAATTTAAGGAAATCACTGGCGCATTGGTCAGTGCATGTTTTATCATTCTTAGTCTAGTTACACTTACAGTATCACATTTTTTATCAGTCTGATGTTTATTTTCTTATTTCTGTATTTAAACAGGGTGAGCTGACTGAGCATGCATGCTCTTTTACATGCTTGTTTATTACAATGCACAGGCTGTTTTAAACCTTAAACCACTCTTTATATTTTTTTTTTTACAGTATCTGTATTTTGTCTGTATGTAATCGGGGCTATTGAGGGGGCTATAACCCCCCCTGAAAACTACACCTATAATGATGGCAGTTAATCAGTTAGGTGACTACATAATCACGTGTGTGTCAGACCATGACTGAAAAATCCAATTCATTGCCCTATGAATTTTCACAGGTAGGTTGTAGGTGGGTGTTAAGCTGTGTAGTAGTTGTTGTTTTCTTCTTGTTGATACAAGTATAGCTCTACATCACAGTGATAAGAGGAGGAGAGGTGTGTGAGATAATTTGGGTGTGCTGGGATTCCTCACCCTGGATGACCCAATGTAAACTGCTAGCCTACGAGCACTCTCGGGAAAGTCTGTTACCTGACTGTCCATGTGAACAGGCGCACTTTTACTTTGTAGAGACGTGACTCAGATTCAAGCCTCCCCGATGATGACTCATTTAGTACAAAAAACACTTGACAAAGAGGATTGGCGCCAACTGCCAAGTGCTACAGTTATTAGCAGGAAAGTATTTTGGACAAAACTGATAGCACAATGGCTGAAAGTGCAACTTCAACAAAGGAAACTGACACCTAGAGAGAACTGCTGTGGGCACAATAGTGAGCTGACACAAAGGAATAACAAAACGTAATCCCGGGAGGCATCACCCTCCTTAATTTTAGACCTGGGTAAAGCCACTGCACTCAGTAGACTGACAGTTGGATGAGAAACAAGACGAAACACGAGCAAAAACAACAACAACAACAGCAGCAAAAAAACAGGCAGTGACATAGAAATGAAACAAACAAACCAGTCAGTGCCGTAACGTTGTGGAGGTTTAACAGTGGGGTAGATGGCGTCTTTGGAGGCAGCAGCTCCCTCTCTGTGGAGCCAGGCTGAGGGTGGGGGGCCCAACGGGGGCCAGTAGCTGTCCTCACTCACGGAGCTCAGCAGCACCTCTGCAAGCTTCCTTGCTGCAGACTAGAAGGAAACAACTGTATATTACTGTACTACTGTAAATTCTGTGTAGATGAGGATATAGATGAGAGTACTTATTAAGATGTAGTAGTTCTGTGCTCAAAGCAGTGTACAGTATTTTTTTTTCCATCATTATTGTGTAGATTTTTTTTAAATATGAATCATTAAATTGCCGGCCGGGTTAACTTGTATAAAGTGTAGGCATACTGATGTACACTTGCCCTGATACACTATAGAATGACGAATGTTTAGCAGCTAGAAATGCAAACAGTAACTGTGTGTTTGTGTGTGTGTGTGTGTGTGTGTGTGTGTGTGTGTGTGTGTGTGTGTGTTTGTGCGTGTGTGTGTCTGTGTGTGTGTGTGTGTGTGTATGACAGCTCACCTTCCTGAAGCTCTGAGACCCTCGTGACTCCACCACCCTGAGCACCCTACGCAGTTGGTGAGCACCCTGCGCAAGATGACTAACACACACACACACACACACACACACACACACAGTAGGCGTATATCTGTATGATATATAGGTTGTGAAGGTGTAACATTGAAAAAATAAATATGCAGAAGAACAAGCTAACAAACATGTTGTATGGTAGATAGAAGAACAGAAAATAAACTGTTAATATCAGACTGCTTACAGAGGCACGTACAGAGGCCATAAACAACACCACTGATGTTCTGACTACAATTTTGCCCAACCTATTTACGTCATTGATGGTAAAAGATTTGACCTTAATAACAGTTTAATGGAGAGTCCTGGATATTTTAGAATCTATTTAGGTATTTATAATTTGTTATGCTGTAATCTATATGAATGTATATTTACATCCTTGTTATTTTCAAAACAAATTTCTATGTCATTATTACTATTATCACAATAATCATCGTTAATTATTATCATATCTCTTTAATTTTTAGGCTTTACCCAGGCGTCACTTGATAAGTTCTTGATCTCAGTGTTTATAGTATATATATTTAAGAAAAACTGATCGCTACAACCCTGACGTAATGTCATAAGTTACTGCAAAGCTGTTGTATTAGACAGCATTAGTCAAGCTTGGGTGTCTCTAATAAACTGGAATCTGAGTGACAGTCCAACACTACTATGCTTCTGCGAGTCCAAGAGCAACACTGACACCTGCTGGTCACAAATCAAAATGCATCTGTGCTGCACTGAGGTCATGGGGTGCTTGAAAGCTTTTCTTTAATTTCTTCTCCTGCTCACTTTGTAAAACAGATGAAAAAGCTCAAGGTTCCCTCCATTACAATTCAGGCTGAGTAAGCAAAGACTGCAACCATTAATCACAGTGCATAAGCAGTGATGTAATGTAAACACAGGGAGATAAATTAGAACTTCCAGCCAACTACAGACTACCTAACAGAAATCAATTTGAAGGCAGTTGGTATTTTATTATGACTGAATGTGCATCCTTGGTATTGAAGCTCATAGGTGATTTGTTTTTAAAAGTACTTCTTCTTCTACTTGAAACAGAGGAGGCATATAGCAGAAAAGGCAGACACTGTGTATGTCTATGTGTTGAGTGTGTGTAGGACAGTGGTGGTGAAAGACAATACCAATGTCACACCATTTATAATATATCATAATTATAATTAAAGAGATTATATTTAAATGTATTGTTTCGTGCAAATTGTGATTCAATTTACTGTAATTAAAGACAATAAAAATGCTGACAGCAAGAAGTGTTTGACATAGGTTTGGTGGACTCACCCTCTCTGCAGCAGACAAAGGTAAGCACTCTGTAAGGAAGCCTGTACGAAGTAGCCCAGTTCGATCTCCACAGGTGGAGGAAACAGACCGGCTTTGGCTGTCTTGGTGCTGGGTGTTGTTACCACCTTAAAATACAAACACAACAAAGTTTATGCTCACTATTTCTAAAACCTTTAGTACTGTTAAAGGGTCAGTTCACCCCAAAATCAAAAATACATTTTTTTTCTATTTTTCCTCTCACCTGTAGTGCTATTTAGCAGTCTAGAATTTGTTTGAACCGTCCTTTTAAATGCTCTGGGTTTTGTCTTTTGACTGTTGCTCCACAATATTGTCAGTAGAGAAGCACAGCAAATTAGTTTCAGAGTGAATGAACATAGATAAAATCAGAATGGCCCTAATTATTATTTTATCAGATCGTTATTATTATTATTGATGCAGTCACATGTAAGCAATAATTTAATTTTGAAATTGGTTGTGGTGGAACTAATTATAACTACCCTATATTTGTCTGATCAGTTTAATCTACGACAATGCATCATATTCCATAAACGTTTTCCATAAATGTTTTGTATGTCAAATTTTAATCTGAAATATATTAAGTGGGGTGATAATATGACATCGCATAAAATGGAAATGGAAATACAAGTCAAGTACAAGTATCTTAAATGTACTTAGTTACTTTACACCACTGACAGATACAGAACCACAAACTAGTGCTTAATATTTGTTTTGGAAAATGTTAAAGAACTAAACAGTGCTGGAGACCAGTAAATAGAAAGAAAAAAAACCTACATTAACAAAGGGTAAACTGTGAACTCAGACCCATAAACAAGTAGGGAACTGATGAACACTGCATGCAAACTTTACATGTATGAAACTCCACCTTATCGAGCTCCTGCAGGTAGGACAGAGAAGCATCACAGGCCTTTAGGTAACAGGACAGACTCTCCTCCTCCCTCTCTGACAGACGGACACGAGACACTGCAGAGACGGTCTGGTGGTCCAGAGACAGACCTGAAACACAAGCAGACCCATGAAACCACCACCTGCTACCATCCGCCAACAAAAAGCTGCTACTAATAGAGAGGATGACACTGGAGAGAGAAGTATTCTTACTTGAGATAAAGTCACCGTACTACAGTGTAAAAATACAGCATTTAAAATCTTACTTGAGATGAAAGTACAAATTTATTAGCATCAAAATATACTTTGAACTTGGAGTATATTTTGATGCTATTACTTTTGTCTTAAAGAACTTTAAGTTTTAAAGTTAAAAAAAAGTGTGGTCAGAATCATATATATTATATTACTAGTCCATACCCATTGAGTGCACAGTTGCCCAAGTACAGTTTCACATGGTGTGTGTTTAGGATACAGGTCATAGGAAATTGCAGATTAAATAGTCAACTGAACCCATTAAGAAGAGCAATGTATTCAGACAGAGTTTTTGTGAATTTGATAGTATGATTGCTTTATTGAAAGTACAGTAGTACCATTGCCAATAGTGGGATAGTTAGGCTAAAACTGTACATTAGTAGTTGAGGTAGCACGTTGAAAGGCAGATAGTTTAAGTGTTTATATGTTGTATTGACTTAAAAGTGGGGCGCACTGGTAGAATGACTGACTGACAGAATGACACACTGACAAATTCAGTGATTATGTACAGCATACCATACCATGACTTAGTCATACCAAAAATTAGAAGAAAAAAAACAACAACATTCGGCCACAGGGGGAGCCACAGTGATCGGTCACATTTTAGCCATTTTTAAACATTTTTCTGTTGTTAAATTTCTCCAGTCACCTTGAGGCGTCCTGTTCTACATATCTACCAAGTTTAGTAAAAATCCATATGGCGGTTAGGCCTAGATAAGAAATTAGCTCTCTAGTGCCTCCATTTTGTTTGATCGGATCAATAATGGAGGGGTCCCCTCAGATTATGTGTGGTCATATGCCTACAAAGTTGCGTGGTGATCGGTGAAACCCTTGAGATGTTATACACCTTTATGTGATGAGCCACGCCCTCCACAATATTCATTGCCTTATAGAAGCTCAGTTTTATGACGTTTTCCAACTTTTGCCAAGAGGGAACTTTAGATATTGGTCCCTAGATTATGTTCACCGAGTTTCATGCAGATCGGTCAAACTTCCTAGGAAGAGATAGATTTTAAGTGTTTTTCAAAAAATTCAAAATGGTGGAAAATCTATACAACCGGAAGTTATGGGCTCTTGAGGCAAATTTGTTCCTCATGAGGAGAGGCATCTCTGTGCAAAGTTTCATGTCTCTATGACATACGGGGCATGAGATATGCCCATTCAAAGTTTGCAATTTCAATCGGTTGCTATAGCGCCCCCCTTTGGCCAATTGATGTAATATTGCTTCATTCGCATCCTCCCATGACCCTCTACCACTGTACCAAATTTCACATGGACTGACCAAGTCAGTGAGGAGAAAGACGTGGAACAGAGACACAGACAGATACACCCACACAGACACAGACAGTAAGACTGAATTATAATTTTTGATGAACTCATGTGTACATCACCTTAATGTTGCAGCTGGTAAAGGTGGAGCTCATTTTAATTAGTTTAAACACTGCAGGGTGGCTTAACCTATAATAATACATTACAACCTATTAGTTCATTTATATTTTGTAACAATAACCTACATTTACAAAGTAATAACAGTAAAAAGTACAATATTTGCCTCTGAGATGTCACCCCAATCATCAGAATGAATGTCAGCATTGTACATTTCTGCAAACTACGGATATGTTACATTTGTTTGTTATTATACAGGCTTTTCTCATGCAGTGTTTGTATGTTTTCCTGAGAAAAACAGTGCCCCAAAATTTGTATATATCCCACAACATATTTTGGAAGGAAGTTAGAAGGCAGGTTGGGGTGGTAGATGGGTCACAAGTACAAGGTACAAGTACCCTAAAACTGGGTGGAAACACAGGGATGGGTCACTAAAATACACACACATTTGATGGCTATGAAGACACTTGAAACACAGCGATGACAAGCTAAAACACAACAGGTTATTGTTGTTTGTTTAAGGCAATACGTCATCCACCATCCCCTTTGCCTCCTGATGACAAAGTCAGCTCATATACTATGTCACTTTGGAAAAGCTGATATGAAACATATAAAACACACCAATGTAAAGAATCCATGGTTTGCAGAAAAGCACAATGTCAACACTTTCTGTAGTTGTAGTGAAGTAGAAATAGAAAGTAGCATAAAATGGAGATACACAAGTAAAGTATAAGTATCCTAAAACTTTACATTATTTTAGTAAATGTACTTAATTACATTCCACCACTGCAGTACGGGTGGAGGCCAAATGATAAAATATACATTAATCTGGCACTATTTGGAGTCAGGAGGCAGTTTGTGCTGCGCAGATGGATGCACTGCTGATGCTTGAATACAGAGGAAGAAGTGAGCAGGGCACTCCTGGTCCAGATGCCGGCTCTGATGCCTGTTATCGGACTTATTGGTACAAATAAACAGAGCTTACAGGAACATTTCTAGACCGCAGCAGCCTCAGGCCAGATGCCAGGTCTAATCAAATAAGCAGACAGCTGCCGATAGACAAGACATCTTCATCCAAATATTCACATCTGATTTCATTCCCAAAACAATATGCACACAAAACATTATGGGAAGGAGCCACACAACCCCCAAAGGACCTGATCTGTTATGTCATGTAGCATGTAAGAGTCCACTGTAAATATCATTTAAAAACAATCAAAGGAAATCAAAATCTTACAGTTACTGTAATAAAATTCTCCTCAGTTCCATGAACATGAGGTCATGTCCGATAATCAGGAAACAGGGAATTTAATAACATGATGATGATGATGATGATGATGATGATGATGATGGGTGTAACACGATTATCCAGAGCTCAAAGCACTACAGACACTGTAATGCTGTGTGGATGTGACCTTTGACCTTGAATAATGCTGCTACTCATCGTCTCAGAATAGACAAAATGCTTGATCGTATCCGACTGGAAAAAAAGCACCTTTTTAAAGTGACCCCAACATACTCTGCTAAAGCGAAACTACATTTTTGGACATCAGACAGCTTGAAAGCATGTGTGACTGTGAGTAACAGTAAATGCTTCCTCGACATATGACTCACAATCATCAGGTTTTTAAAACAGCATCTGTACAGAAATCTGCCAGTTGCTCTAAATCTGTTCCCACAAGAGCTTTATGTCGTCCCTTCACTCTGAGTCCATCCCATTTTAGACGTTATTATTTAGGTGTTGTTACTCAAGGTTTCTTCAGGAGAGGCAGCTGGAGACAAAACACAAAGGTCGTCTTCATGGACCACATTTTCACATCACCAGTGTCATCCACAAGCTGAGGTTAAGACTCAAACAAAAACACTTTCCGGGGGTCACTGACAGAAGTATGTGTCCAATCAAGCTGATGTTTTCCAGCCATGTTACATTCATTTCCACAGATTGAATTTCATCAGTCTCCCCACCTCCTCCCTTCCACTTCCACTTCTAAACCCCATAAAAGGTCATTGTGATTTTAGGGCTGTGATAACTCCTAGCAAAGGGATTAGGAATGGAATCATCAAGGAAATGTATGCAGGGAGCTGTTCAGTCTTGCCTGCAGTGTTTTTCAGGGAAACATGCCAGTCCTCAGTGCTGCCTTGGCATACTGAAGGCTCGAGCTGACAGGTCTGCTGTAAATGTAAACTGTGCAGCTCTGTAATGGATGTCCAAACAGGCTGAAATCCCAGCGACAGGTAACACAAGGCTCCGGTTTATCTTTACATTCAGTTTTACCCACCAAAATGCTATGTATAATCTTCAAGCCTATAAAAACGTGTTGAACACATTAACATCCTCATAAAGCATTAGCAAACACAGTGTTTGAACATGTTGAGAACTGCATTGTATTGCTGGTGTTGTTTATGCGAGCACTTCCAAAAATTCGAACTCAATACCTGATGAAACCTACTGCTTCATGTCATTGCAACTTTGCCCCCTATCTGTCCCTTGCAATAGTGTGTGGGTTTTATTGTACTGTGACTTTGTGATTACCTTTTGAATGAGTTTTGAAAGGTATACTGTGCAGGATTTTCCTAAACAACATATATAAACTTATAAAGCTCTGCCCTCTGCCTATATCTTCCTCTCATTTAGCAGTGTTTGGGACGTTTATGAACAAATACACACTGACAATAACAACATAAAGGTGAGGTAAGACTTCAAAGAGGAAGCTACAAAAATCACAAACACAGCAACAACAAAAAAACATACAAATATAGTGAGGTGAAATGCCAGAGCTTGCTCCAGAATCTGGGGTTGGCTTTCATTTTCACTTTTGCTAGTGAGCAGTGAACAAGAGGATGGAAATGATGAGTGACTCAGAGTAGGCCTGTTTTCTGTTGGACATGAAGGGTGCCTGACTTTGGTGAATCTGAACTAACCACTTTAAACACCAAAGTCACTTCATGAAACAAACCGTGCGATCAAGACAACAGTAGACCAGCAGCTCCTGTGTTCAGTGATGTTAAATTACTTTTTTTTAATGGAGTCTGGCTTTCAAGAGAGCAATATAACAGCTTCATACCCTGTCAGAAATCACTGTCTGACAGTTTAAGTGGGGACAATACTCTGAATATAGCATACACTTAAACTGTTATTGAATTATTATTTTTATTAGGTGGGACTTTTTTCAGGTGGCTAAAATACATATTGCTACCTCTGGACATTGCTTAACTTCCAGGTCGGACTCCAGCCTGCTTCTCCAAACTGGGGACGGGCCAACCGCCATCTTTTGTATGTCATATACTGACTATGGATAGGTACCTCATACAATCCCATTTCAAAAGATCAGGGGCCGTATTAAGAAAGCTACCTTGTGCTAAGAGTTGCTCCTTGTGATGAAATTCTAAGAGAATTCTTAAAATTGTGACCTTTTCTCAGAATTTCCTCTTAAATTAAGACTAGGTCCTTGTAAAGATGAAAGTTATTTACAAAAGGTAAAGATTCTCAGTCATCCAGGTCATGGTTAGATGGACCAATCTAACCCTAACGACACACAAGATGGTCAGGTGGGTCAACGACTCACATGTGACCTCAACAACTCTGTAAGGGTTCACAACATCAAAGAGTTTGAAGCTCATGACTCCGCACCAGTCCTTAAGAACTGAAGAAGCTTCTTGGATGAGAGGCAAAACGTCAAGCAATGTCAAGTAACTCAAGCAAGTCCAGTTGCCTAAGATAGAGCACTTATGGTTATTCACATAGCATCTTAGACCTTAAAAAGGCTCCTAAAGTGAAAACTGTTGGGAGTAGGGAGGAGGACTTTTGAGAGGCTTAAGAAGTTTCTTAAGCAGAGGAGAAAATAGCAGAAACACAAAGAGGTAGAGAAAAAAGAAAGAGAAAAAATCTCCAAACACTGGATGACACTGAGTAAACGAAATGCTACAGATTAGACCGTGCAGCGCTAATATTTGTGGTCGATCTCATTAGGGATAAGCACACATTTCTCGTCCAGGGCATAAATGCTATAACTTAAGAAATAAATTGATCACAACATTAAGATATTTGGAAAAACTGGAAAAATGCAACAGTGCAGCAGTGATGACTTCTGTCTGCCTCAACTTTCCATCAGCTGTGATCACACTAACAATGACAGCACTTTCACAGTCAGCAGTTCATTCCATTTCCACTGGGTGTCCCCACACCTTACAGGCTGTGTCTCTGACAACCAATCATATCTGTTAAAGAACGCATCATACCTAGCAAAAGGGATAACCACACCCCCTCACTTTCTGTCCCTTCTTTGCTCAGAGTTGTGCTGAGAACTTTCCTAAATCACTCCTGAGTTAGGACGCCTTACTAAAAATGTTCAGGCTAAGTTAGGAGCTCTCTGAGAGTGTACTGAGAGAATGTTCGTGAATACAGCCCCAGAACTATCCCTTTAAGTAGTGTAGGTTGAACTGAACTAGGAAGTCTGTATATAGACTGTGATGGACAGTTTGAGTAGTATTTTTACCTTTAGCCTTCTTTTTTCCAAATAAATTTGGCTAACCTGGAGGTTGTTCACAATCTGAGTTATGATCTGGCGTCTTGTGTTTTTATTCACCCATATGACTTTTTGTGACCATTTTTGCAGGTCTCAGCATTACTTAAGGAGCACAGAGAGCATTTATACTTACTGTGATAATGGAAAAAATGAAAATACAAACCAAGCTATAAGAAACTAAAATTTCCCTATAGGTACCTTTGATGACAAAAGCTTCAGCCAGCAGGCGGAGATGGTAGGTAGGCTGCTCATCCCGCGTCAGCTCCTCCAGTCCCACCCTGGCACACATTCCCTGGGCGTCCCGGTAGCGACCCTGCACATAGTGCACTTTGGCCATCAGCAGCAGAGCCTCGTTCAAATACCTGGGCTGGAGGACAAGAGGAAATCAATAGTTTGGCAAAAAGTGACACAAAGGAAAACATTTATATAAAAGCTTCCTGTGAGAGAGGAATCTGCAACTACAGGGTGACCTGAAGGAACTGACTGTGAGACGGCCTCGGCTGAGAATGGCATTGAGGTGGCCTTTCGCCCGGGACAGCCTGGGCTGGGTCTTGTCCATCAAAGGTGTGGAGCTTCGTAACAGGTCCATGTTTTCTTGCAAGCACTCCTCCAGCAGCGCCTCAGCCAGCAGCAGCATCCCATAGTCATCTAGGGGGTGGGATTGAAAAAGTCAGAAGTAAACTGAGTTTGTTGGGAGTAGGTCTGAGCTCAGGGTCACAGGTCATATTTTTGTGTAGCCAAAGCAAACCTCACTCGGTCCATTAAAAACAACATTTCCCACCAGCTCAGGGAGAGGAGTTCAAATATGCCACAGTCCTGACGTCTATTTAAAAGCAACAGTTTCCATTTTCCTCATGCTTTCCTTAAATAGCTTTATCATTGTAATCATATGATAAGCACTCCACGTCCACCTACTGCACACTGAAGATATTACTTATAGTAGGTTCTGATTGGCCTTCAAAGTCCAGTAGTAAACCTCAGTTTTTGTGTACACACTCACTCGATTAAAGCCTTCCTGTTTAGCTTTTGCATTCTATGTGTGTGTGTGTTCTGTCGCAAACTCTGTGAGCAGTGTTTATGTCCTCCTGATATGCTTGACATATTTGCCAGTTAGTTTTATTTGCACAGCCAAGGCTAAACCTATCAGAGAGGGGAAGGTGAAGGATAAACAGCAGGACGTGCCTCAGCCCATAACTACAGTAAGAGTTATTTAATGATTTCACACAAGTTGGAGCCTAGACTTTGGAAAGAGTCGATGTTGCAATACGTAACCAGGAGGTAACAGTATAGTTGGCCAGTTTGTTTCAATGCAAGAAGATAAAGTGGTCAAAGAAAAACAGCTTTCTCAAACATTCATTTATCTGTGAATCTCTGCAATCATTCTGTGATTTCTTTGTGTACCTATGTGGAGAAAAGCAGTGATGATAATTGTGCAACAGCTTTCTGACTGAGAATAGTTTATGTGGCTACAATCACTTTTTTATATTATCAGTGGATCATGTTGCTATTTGTAAAATGGGTCACTTGAACTTGAATGCCAAAATAATTATAGCATGTTTCAGGTATTTGGTTTTGCAGCCCATATTTTATTTGTTTTGGTTCAGTCCAACACCTCATCAACCTTGGCAAGTCTTTTTGCAAAAAAAGCTCTAAAACCCACTTTACAGTCCTGCCAAGCATCAAACAGCTCACAATTTTAGCAACTAGCTAGGTAAAATAGTAGAGCATTTAGCAGCTAAAGAGCTGGGTATTTCCCAGGAGTCGGTGGAGACCAAACAGAGCTAAAAGGAGAGTAAATATTTGACTTACATTCAAATGGACAGGAGAAATGACTCCAAATGAAAGCTCAAAATGAATGCTGAATATCTGCTGATTTTGTAAATACGCACATGTATCAGCTGCATCAACTTGAAAGATGACAGATAATATGTCAGTGCTGAGCTTTTCAGCTGCCCCCCTGTGGCCAAAATTTGTTATTGCTGGTTTATAGTCTGCTGCAGGTGGAGAAATAGGTGCAGGGCTGTGGCCAGGATTTTAAAAATGCCTAGGCAGGAGGCAACCATACACAAACCTATGCTCAAACTATTTTGACCTGATACCACAAGTTATTTATTAAAATAATTCTTTAAATACTGTTCCCGTAGATTTTATTTCCCACTAATTAAGGTTTTGTACATGATATTCAAAGCATTAAAGGGCCAGTGTGTAAAATGGGTTGAAAACAGTGACATCAGTGGTCAAATTCTAGATTGCAGGGCTCACTCGCTCACCCCTCCCGTCGGGTAAATGACGGTGGCCTCGTAGGGACAAAAAGCTTTGCGCAGACACGAGTTTTTCAGGAGTAGGTCTATCTAGCGAAGAGGTGAATATTTATTTAGAAATCTAAACCATGTTACGATATTGTAATGAATCACTCACGAGCAGGAAACCAGAGTAGTGTTCGGGAAAAAGGCCCGTTTATTTGAGCACTCCAAAAACTCCGGTAACACTCCAGGGTGTAAAAGACTCTGTCCCAAACTCTGACTCTTCTAGCGTAACGGACACACTTCATACACACATACTCACTTACATTACCTAGCAGGTACCCCCTCCCCTCTCTGCTCCACCAATCTCCAGCCCGCACACTGACTGACAGCGTAGCCTGTAAACAGAGCTCAGCTGTTTATTTAGCCTAGCAATATCTCCGGACTATAGTAGCTGCAATGGACGACTCTGAACGCAATTTTGAAGAGTTTCTTGAAGTGGACACAGACCCAGAGCCATACCTGTTTGAGCCGGAGCATACAGATTAGGAACTCCATGTGTTGGATGCTGAGCGGGCGAGAAGAGAGGCTGAATCCTCCGCTCCCATTCTGCTGCACAGAATGGGATTCGGTGCTGCCATTGTTGGGGAGATATATCATCAGGAGGAAAAGGGCCGCAGAGAGTGCATCACAAGGAGTGAAGTTGCGTCTTCTTTTCCTCGCAGATGGCGGTTCGGGTTCATTCTCTCCTGTTGCGTGGTGAGTGTGGTCCATTCGCAAACTTTATAACTAAAAAAACTTTTCACTACTCTCTGTCAATGAACTACTAACACTCTCTGCTGTTTCCTCCTCCTTCTTCCTTCCTTCCGCTGTCGTCGTTGGTTTATTTATACACGCGAAACACGTTCTCTGACTGGCTGGATTGTCCGCTCAGGCTGCCGTACATACATGTCAGATTCAGATTTGACAATAAACCATGCCAAATATTACACACTGGCCCTTTAATATAGGAGCAATGCTATGTAGATATAGTGGAGTAATCAATCAATCAATCAATCAATTTTATTTATAAAGCCCAATATCACAAATCACAATTTGTGATGGTGTCCTGATCAAAGAATAAAGTCACGCCACCTCTGTGTGTGTTGAGCCTCTCTTTAGTTTGTTGTGGTGAGCCAGTCAGGCTGCACAAGCATGTTACTTCATGTGTGTATCTAGTTCATCACTGCTGCTGCTTTGATCCACGTTCATACAGCGGTTACTGCTTATATCAGAATGGCGTTGTCGCAGAAGCATAGCACCCACCCTCTGGTTGCCCCCTGTTCAAGACCAGGCCCCCAGGAAGTGCACCAGGCTTTGAAGCCCATTTTCATAATGGCCAAACAGTGGAATTACAACTTCTGGGTCCATCACATGATGCCACTGGGCCCGAAAAGACTTTTTCCCATAGATTTACATTGGGCAGGGGACATCTGTAAATCAGTGGATACATTTTTTTGAGCATCACAACCCCCATGAAATGACTCGTTTCACTGTTAGGATTTAATCCATTCAGTCCCATAACATTTGGAAAGTCTAGAAAAGCCGAAAGATTAAATCATTTTATCCCAATTCAAGTTAGCCATCTTAGCTGGCAGAAGTCTCTAGTGCACCTGCTGTATGGCCCTAATAATGCAGAGGCAGCGCAGTTCATCCGGGGAATTTCCTACAGCAGAAATAGAGCTTTTGGCTTCATGTGCCACTGAGCAACTTTCATAGGAATGAACAGGGTCCCACCTCCAATGATGTATCCAGGTCTCTTAATACATCCATGGTCAACACTGTTAACCCTGTCAGCACTGTTGTTATTGTTTAGTGCTGTTTAAGGAGTTAGCAATATTAGCTGCTAGCCACCAGCTCAGCTACCTCCATGTTGAGAACTATGACAACTCATACGTGCCGAATTTTGCATAGAGCCTTTTTAAGGTTAAAAATATTGTGGGGAAACACTGAATTGAATGAAGGAGACTGCAGCAAACATAAAAAACTCTGTTGGAGCTTTAAAATTCTCAAGAAATGTGTGCAAATGTGTTATGAGAAAGGAAATGCATTCATGATGTTTACTAGAACTTCAAAACACACGCAATACATTTTTTAAAAGAGACACTGATTCAAACTTACATTTTTTGTTTACAAGAAAACTCTACAGATTATCCTTAAATGCACCGAGTCTATAAATACAACTGGCCTATGAAATAGCCATTTTAACTGTAGAACGAAATTCCCCACGGGTTACTAAACCCCCACATTCCCAGAACAAGAGACCGGGCACTCATGACCTCAGCATCCTAAATAGTAGCTACTACTGAAATGTGTATTTGCCAAAACAACATTTGATTTATCCTTGGAGATTGTTTACCAGAGGTGAACAAGAACCCTTTCTCTTTGACTGACATCAAATTACTTTTAATTATCTAAAGTAAAATAATTCACCCACCATGAGACCTAAGAATGCAGAGTGCTGTTAACTGTTTTACAGTGGGGTGGATTTCACTAAGTTTGATTCCTTATTACTTTACCAACCATGAAGTTCCTCTATCTCCAGTCTAAAACCACTGCTCCTGTCCTGGTGCACCGTGCCCTCCATGCACACTCATTGTCAGATCAGCTAATGTGACCCATGCATGCGCACAGTAATACCACATTGATTTAACACTCCAGTGCATGTGCAGGCAGGGAGAAACTGCTGCTCGGCACTATCAGCCTGTTATGGGTACAATAACAGCGGACCTGCAGTCCAGTCACCTGAACCCATATTTACTCTGCTAAGGTGAGAGGTGGAGGCAGGTCCATTAGCGACTTGGCAAAGTATAGCTACACAGTGATAAGTGTGTTTGCATTTCTTCTAGCACACGTACAGTGTGGAATGAGTTCAAGGTTGCGCACTGGAAAACCATGTTTTGTGTAAGATATAGGAGGTTGTGCCAGATACATCCTGTATGAGGGCTGTTTACAATGTGTAGATACCTTTGATCATGCTCACACTCTTTCAGTGTGTATACTGTAAACTTCCAGGGAGTGACATTTGATTGTTGGAGCCATCCGGCAACCCCTCTCTGACCCCTGGTCTCACCCAGTGGGACAGATGTAAGCAACATGTCTATCAAATGATTATGATTATTGTTATTTGTGTAATAAATTTGCTGAGGAAACCTAAAGTACAGTAACACACACTATCTTGAGAGTCCAAAGTCCAGCTTGTGTATACATGCAGTGAAACCCGTGCACTGCAATACATATCCATCCTTGACAAACACTTTAGATTCTTACTGAGTCTTTTTTACAAATCAGCTGAACAAATCCAGACACAATAAATCCTCATTGTTTCCAGAGCAAGTCTTTTCTGACAACTAAGATACTCTGGAAACAACTTCCTGAAACTTCTCTAAAATAAGTGGACTTTAAATAACTTTTGTCACTTATTAAAGGAGACACGAGATTCAACCTGTGGCTTCTTCTTGATCGTTATTTTTCGCAGTGTGCAGATCAGTTAGGCGACAGGGGACAACTCAGCTTCAAACCCTCCAGGTGCGCAGAGATCACTCACCGTCCTCGTGGATCCGCGCAAGCTTCATCTGTTCGATCATCATCGGTATCTTGTCCCACTGGCACTCGGCCCGGTAGCGCTCCAGCTCCGCTTCCAGGCGGACTTGGGTGAAGGAGACCCGGGATGCCATCGCCGCTCTGTCCCGGTGGTGACTGTACTCTCCGGACACGATGGGAGTGACTGCAGACTAGCAGGAGAAATAAATGTGTAATCTTTGAGTGCGGAGGGGTGGGGTGTGGGTTACAGGCACAAAAGGTCACCACACACAGGAGCGCGAAAATAAATACAGGAATATGACTTAATTTGCTCTGTGGAAATATGTTTCACTGTTAAAATGTTATTGTTATTATAGGAACTACTTGATTAATTTATAATAAAACCAAGAGTTGGCCTGAATCTTAATTTAACAAGGATATCCCTGCACTATTTACCAAAGTAAACTCATCTTTTTCCAGCATGAACCCTCTTGTTATTTCTTTACTGTCATCTTGCAGCACTTACAATGCATACTTAACACAATGCACTATTAGCCTATGCATGGCATTTGTCAGTGCATTAGTGACCTCTGTCAGTAAAGGTGCATTTCTTGAAATTATTGTGGCATTTTCAGAGGGCTTGATCTGTAGCTGCCGGAAGTAAAATGACGGGTGTCCTGCCATGTCCTTAATCTTTCCCGTTAACACTTTAACTGGATCAGGTAGGGCTTAAACAGTAACGCGGAGAAAGCAATGCTCTTCTGCAGCAGAGAGGAAGCCAAAAAGAGACAGGAGGCATGCATATATGGTGGTGTTTGTTTTACTTTTAATAGTGTTCATTTCATAAATGATGAGTTCATTGGAAAAATCAATTTGTAATTGCATGGCTTGCTCCCTGATCTGGGTTCAGCAGCATTGGCCGGCTAACCTCCTGGCTCAGATACAAAATAATACATCTGTCAGCTATTGCACTGTGACATGTATAAGCAGCAGGGCTGTAGGCTACAAACCAGGCAGAGAGAACTATGCTGCAAACCAGTGCTCCTAAATGGGAGGGATAAAGGGAAAATACACCAGCAGTTGAACAACAATAAACACCTGTCTTCACATCCACAGCACAGGGTGTAAATACAGGGGGAGACAGGGGTCAGTCACTACTGAGGGGTTTCACTGAAAGTCTACTTTATGACGTAAAAATAAAACCTCGAGCCTCCTGAACAGAGATTTAGCAGCGTCATTTTCTCTCTGGAAACTTGACATTTGCTCGGCACAGATCGACGCTTCTCCTTCCCCTCTGTATACTCCAGCACACAACGTGATCCTGCGCGGTGAAGATTTGACAGCTGAGCCGCTGCTTCACACCCCCTGATGACGTAATCAACGTGTCACCTCAAAGATGTTTGTCTCTGTCAAGATGAGTCACATCGTTAAATGCTTCGTCCACAGCAAAGTGCCATGCGTAAAGTGCGCATAAATTACAACGTGACAGTGCGAATATTTTGTCAAATAATCTAAACGTTGTGAAAGTTATTGCTAATTTACTTAAGAGACTTCATAAACTAATTTCACCAGGGGTGATGCACAAATTTCTGGGCCCCATGCATAAGCAGTGTCTGGGGGCCCCCTACTCTTTCTCTCTTGATCCATGTCTCACATAGCATACCTTTTGATTTTCTTTTTTTTATGTAGTCAGTTTGCTTTCTTTCCCTTTCCTCTCTTTCTTTTCTTTTTTGCAACCCCAATTTCCCTTTCCTATATCATCCCAACTTGTCAAATATTGCCACTTTGTCTGTAGACTGTCACATCTAGGCTACATATGAAGGGCTGGGTATCTTCCTGCATCTGTTGTTGACAATGCAGAATGCCATATGGATTGATGCTTGTTACATGCATTGTGTTGGTTTCAAATATACTTCTGTTTTCACAGAACACATGTACAGTTTCTGCTCGATGGATGCACACAGTCTTTTCAAAATAACCTTACAATGTGGGTAAAACACCTCATTATGTTTTCTTCCTTGTGCAACAAAAGCAAGTGGTAATGTTTAAAAAACAAAACATCATGGTTTGGCTCAACATTCACACACAAAGCGAACAGCGGGCTCCTGGGTGAAAGTGTGGGATTTGTTGGACCCATCCCATTTTAGTTATTAGCATTAGCATTTCTAGGTGTTAAAGTTGAATCATTATCTTACTCCAACCTTAAATATGATGTTGGAACATGTACGGACTATAATAAAATTTTGATTAAGTCGTGGACAGCGAAAAATAACAAAGTAGTCTGTCTCGCAAGATTTCAGCGAATATGGACGTTGCCGCAGTGAATCATCTCGCTCTAATTTTATACTCTTTGATAATTCTAACCAATCATAATGAGCTGTCGTGTCAAAGTGGAGCTACGGCAAGCCGTTTGGTCCTTAAAGGCTGTGACTGATCATTGTTGCCAGCCAACTACGAAAACAACATAACTGTCTGCGGTGTCAAGCGAGGATGCAAAATATTTTCAGGTAAGTATTAAAACGACCTTTCAAATAATTATATTATTAAACGTCTCGTATTGTTTTTGCATTAAACAGGTCGCGGTTTCTCAGCGCAGCCCTGAAACAAAGCTCCATGCTAGCAGATGTTATTACTGTCAGCCTTTTGCTAACGTTAGTGTTTCCGTTAACTTTGGTCTCATACTAAGATAACGTTAGTTCTGTAACCTCGTGGTACACACAGTATGTAGCTCTATGTGATATTTTCACAGCAGTTTAATATCGCTATTCAGCCAGTATTTTTACTAAGATAGCCAATGTTTTAACGGTACCTGTGGACAAGGTGCCCATATGGCTGAGTATCGACAACACTTTGATTTACAGTCATGACTTTACTGATTGGTTTCTCCGCTGTTGGCAATATGGCGCAGTGATCAGATAGAGCCAGCTCACTAATGTAGCTCTAATATGACGTTTAAAGAGCAAACAGCAAGAAGAACGCTATAATTAAGAACCTTTGAAAGAGATTATTTAATTACATCAGTGTTACAAGTGAATGAAAATTGTGCGGGAAATGTGAATTACAAAATGTTGTAGAAACAAATATGTATATTTAGTGCAGTGGTTCTCAACCAGCGACCCCCAGGGGTCCTTGATGGAGTTCCAGTGTTCCCTGGAAAAATGAGGAATAGTTTATTTTCACAACTTAGTTTGCATTAGACATGAGCTCAATGTGAGTAAGAGTCAAAGAGGGACTTTTCTTCTTCCACAGTTATCTCTTTAACTGCAGTTCACAATTATAGTATTCAATCACATCAAACAACCCAAATCTTTTCAGATTGAGGTCCATGAAGTAATGTGTATCAATTAAAGGGTCCCTGACATGAAAAAGGTTGAGAACCACTGATTTAGTGTTAAAAAGAGGGTGCTTAAAATGCAGCCCAGGAGTCCTTAACTTTCTGTCTGTTTGTCTGTCTTGTCTGTGTGTCCAGCAGAATGAGGAGCAGCAGGTGTAGTGAACAGTGGGGGGCACTGCTCCTCCTCCTGTCTTGCTTTCTGCTGTGTGTCCACTCTCAGGTGGATCCACAGCAGCCCCCACCAGCGGGCGTAGAGAGTGGAGCTCATATAACTGGTCACGGTCGCCTGGACAAAAACATGGTCCAGGACAAAGAGTGAGTGATGTCTCTACATTCACCATGCTCTCTGCCACAGTTCTGGACTTATTTGCACAGCATGGTGAACTTTGAACTCAGTCAGTAGCAACATTCTGTGGTTTTTCAATCATCTTTTGTCTTCCAGCCACATCATGGAGCATTTAGAGGGAGTGATAGACAAACCAGAGACAGACATGTCACCTCAGGAGCTTCAGCTGCACTATTTCAAGATGCACGATTATGATGGCAACAACCTGCTGGATGGGCTGGAGCTCGCAACAGCTATCACACATGTACACAGAGAAGTAAGTAAACACATATGAAAGTGTGTGTATATTTGTTTCTGTTCTTCTAGGTGTTTACTTAAATACCAGTAACCATTTTAGTAACTGCTAAAGGATTGAGTAAAGACGGCCTGTGTGTTTATAGCTTTGTATACTGTGTACTTATTAGTAAAAATGAACACTGCACACACACACACACACACACACACACACACTGCTTTTACTATTCTGGGAAACACATTTTAGTGATTATTTTATTGTAAACTATTTTTTAAAATCCCCCAATGCCCCCTCCAATCACCACTCAGAAGTAGTGTAGTAGGAAGTATAGGGGAGTATTTGCAGACTCATTTAAATAAGGCAAAGGCGTCTTCTGTGGATAATTGCAATAACTGCACTAGGTAATTAGCTGCATCGGTTTCTGATTTACAAATCTCTGTTTGTGATCTGTATCATGATTATCATATCTAATGTTGCTACATTTTTATGATATCTTGCAAAACAGCTATTTTTTCATGCATTTACAGATAATGTTGGGAATAACTAAATCTCACAAACTGAACAGTACAACAATAAAAGTAAATATTAACTGCAATCAGTTATATGACATTTTTCCAGTAAAATATGCAGCTATCAATGAGATGTCCTCAAGAAACTTCTGATGGGCAGTGAACCTATACACATGTAAGCTTGCCTATATAGTTATATACGATATATAAGAAAAACTGAAATTTAAACTCATGTTAGATAGTGAATTTATTCATTTTATTCAATGTTTTATTTCCAATTTATTCATCTTCTCCGTCCTTGGTGGTGCGACAGGAGTTTTACATACATTACTGCCCCCTAACCATGGATGTATTTTTTCTTGTATTAAACATATAACTGCAGTGCAGTGTTGGTGATACCAACGCTGGAGTGACAGTTGTTTTTTACTCCCTTCTTCAGCCCTCTGAGAGTTAAGCTCACCAAGTTCCCCTCAGTTTTTCACACAAATGAAATGACACTTAAGATGGCTAGCGGGATTCTCCCAAGGGCCAGTGCCAATGAAGGGGAGGTCATCAAGGGCATGTTGAACAACAAATGAAATGCAGCCCTTGTGTCAGAAACATGTCAGAATACAGAAGCAAGATACTTATCAATAATTGATGGATCCACATTTTCTAAATAATTCCACCTTTTGCCTTCCCAACACCTTTCTTTCACCTCAAACGAAAACTCCGTGATGGCAGAAACTCATTTCTTTAAGAGTGGCCGAGTGTTGTTCAAGCTAAAGGAAACTGAAATGAAGCACTAAAGCAGTAGGAACCTTACTTTCAGACTGTTTCCTCCTTTAAGCAGCATTTAGCAGTTTTTTAAGGCATGACACATTATATTACACTTAGAGTTGATGGAAACTGTTGCACACCTGCTGAGGAAAAGTGCCCCCATCAGGCATCATCTGTGCGGACACTGTAGAATGACGTTATGACATACAGTAGAGTTGCACATTCCAAATGCAGTCCATCTGTGGTTCAGGTGCTTGTCCACAAATCATGTATGTTTTGGTTCAGGTGCAACGTCTTGCTCTCGATTTGTCAGACCAAACACAAAGGGCTCTAGTTTCCCGGCGCAGCGCAGGTGGCGCAGGGTGGCGAACCCCGCGCAGAGCTAGTTTTGAGCAGCGCAACCCGAGGCGCGCTCAGTTTGGTAGTTTGGCAGACCGAGGTGCGCTGAGATGGGTGTGGCGGCGCAGCAGGGGGAGGTGTCGACAGATCCAGCTTGGCGCAGTGACAGTTTTGTGCCAAAAGGCTTCGCCGAAGGTGCGCTAAAAGCTCGCCAGCTGAAACCAGGTCTACTGTCAGCGCAGGCGGAGCGCAGCCGGTGTAAGCCGGAGTTTGGCTGACTGGCGGACAGTGCGCACACGTCACCAAAACCTCACAGGCAGGTTTCCAGAATATCAGGCACATTAACGATGCAATAAATACCCAAAAAAACACTATTCAATGCAACTATCTGCAATCAGCACATAAATGTATCTCTATATCGACTGTCCCGTCACATCTGATGTCAGATCAAAGGGGATTGGCACCATTTGGCACGTTTGGCACACGTAATGGAAACCCAACCTGATCTGATTAACACAGCTGCAAACTAATGAGTTCACATCCCTCTCAGCCAACCACAAACAGCCACAGCATCAGATAGGGAGTATATATTCAGCATCTGTCATCTTAGAAAAGTCAAAAGAAAAGAAACAGAGTGAGACTGTGAGAGAGAAAGAGAGAGCGTGCGCGCACAAGAGAAACGCAACACTGATTTACAATTGTGGTGACCTCCTCCCAGGCTACCTTTGCATCATCAGCCCGTGGAGGTCTGCTCGCAGTTCCATATATTCAGACACTGCGAGCTTGGACCTCCCGGACCAAAACATCAGTTTCCTCCTGGGAGAAGTTTGGCTGTCTGACGCTGCTGCTCTCTTCTGCCATGGCGAATTGAGTAAACTCTCATTACGCCTTCGCGCGACGCATTTAATGCTGCATTCTATTGGTAGCCGGAACCGGGATTGATACGGTTTCTGGTCCGGAAAGGTACAAAAGAACACACGTTCTACCCGGAGGTCTCGTCATCAAACTCGGGCAAGGTCCAGGTAGACCGAGTCGGTAGAATTGACGTCACGACGAAGATGGCTGCGCACATTGTGAATGGTAAACAAAGTTATTTGTCCTCAATTTGTCCTCATATATGCTGTTAAATTAAACAATTGTGTTGTAAAAATCATACAAGTACTTTGCAATGGCATTTCTATTTCCACTGTTGATTTGTGTTGGAAAAAAAGTCTGTGCAAGCCCGTTGTAGCCTAAAGTCATTTAAACCAGCAAAATCTCCGTTGCTCAGCAACCATGCAAACAAAAACAAACTTATGGCGCGTCGCCATGTTTTCCGGACTGTTGCAATGAAACGCATTCAGATCAGACGTGTCATATGGTCATATAAATCCGACAAGGAATGACCGGCCTGGATTGCCAAACGAATGCGGTACAAGGGTGAGGAGAGGGGCTCATTTGATTGGTGTGATGTGTGTAAAACCCACTCCACGCCTTCTCTCCTCCCTCTTTCCGACTTGCGCCGGTAGGAGGGACGGAGGTGGGAAAGAGGAGTAGCTGCGCCAGGCGCACAGTGTGCCAAACTTACAAAGTCCGCCTGGCCACACCCAGTTGGCGAAGCGCAGGTGCGCTGCGCCTCCGCCGCGCCCGGTCTGCGAAACTAGAGCCCAAAGCCACAAAGTGACAGTACCGCATTACCAAATAAGTGCGAAAGAGGAAAGTATATAAAGAGAGAGGGGCGAGGATCAAGCAAAACTAAACAGAAACCAAACTTACTTCATGTGCCATATAAATAGTGTATGTAATGACCAGTATTTATTGTCGTCACACATACAAACTATTTTTGTTTTATTATCTTGTTTCCTTCTCAGGAGAGAGGAGAGAACAGCGCGCCAATGAAAGAGGAGGACCTTATAACTCTTATTGACGATGTTCTGAAGGATGATGACAAAAACAATGACGGGTATATAGATTATGCAGAGTTTGCCAAATCACTAGAGTAAGATGTCAGTGGAGCGCTGGCATTCTTCATGTCCACAACAACAACAACAACAACAACAAGGAATCTGCAGAGAAGAGAAGAGAAGCCACCAAGCTGTCTAGAAACCATTGTCTAAGCGTTGCTGGCGATCAGTCAGGGTTATTGGTGATTAATGTCCAAGTTCTGGAAATTTTTGTACTTAATAAGCTTGTGACACATTGTTTTTTTAAAGTGATGTCTAAGCTGGTAGCAGCAAAAGTGATTATACCAGTAATTTAATAAGCAACACAAAAGGAGGACGAGAAAAGGGTCTTTTTAGTTGGACTCTGGTGTATGCTTGTGCTGCAGTGACACACCTGCACCTTCTGTTTTTGTAGGTTCCTTGAAATCATGCCTTTTTTTTAAAGGGTCAGTTCACTCAATATCACTGACAAACACCATTACCTAACCCCTCATGATATCTTACCATGCATGTATACTGTTAATTCAGTTTGGTGAGGTTTCAATGATCTCTGAGATCACTTTTCCCAAAATGCGTACACAGTAAAAGCCCAATACCTTCACTGGGAACTAATACAACTATCAATACAAACTCCTGAGAGTCCCCTGGACATTACTCTGTGTCATTTTTAGACGTGTTGGAAGACTGTGGCAAATAAAACCCAGACTATCTTCAACTTCTAATTTTGGAAGGTTTTGGGTGAATTGGCCCTTTATACGTACAGTCTAAACACTCTAATAGTGTGTGTGCTTCTTTTGACGGTGCTACACTTAATTCACTGTGGTAGCGCAATAGCATCTAAACAGAATGTCATCACTTTTTTGGACCCGAGTTTCCATTTAAAACTGGTTTCACTCTGTACAGTGTGCATACTGGACCCAAGCAGACACACACTCATTTACATGAACACACTGTGGTTGTGTGACACTCAACGTTGTGGACCAAATGATTCCTTCTGTGAATCCATTTCATTCGCTGTCTGTGATGAGGATGGGACAAACGGGTCGTTCTCATGACATTAGAAAGTGGCCTTGACTTAATCAGATGTACAGTAGCCTGATGTAGTGTATGTGTGTGTGTCTGTGTGTGTGTAGAGAGGAGAGAACCATGCTGAACTGATGAGGTCGCAGGTAGAGCACTATATTGTATGTTGCCTGCAGAGTCTCCATTCAGCAGTGGTTCATCAGCCCAACATGTCTCTTCCTGGGGTTGTATTTGCTGTTATTGTCATAAAGATATGACATGAGCCAATCACCATCATCGTCACTGTACATTCTGTGAGCCAGCTGATACTTGACATAAATCTAATGTCATAGAATGAATGAATGTATGTATGTATCACAGCGCTGTGCTGCTGATTCTTTATCACTGGATAATCTCAACTCAAAGCACACTGGTTGATGCTGCTGCCACTGCAGTTGTTAAAATGCTTCACAGGTTTCCAGTCAAAGTGTTAGGAAGCATCAAACTCAACATGTTTTTGCTTCAAATCATTAGCTGCCTTTAAAACAGATATGAATCAAATGTCATGGCTGAGTGTGTGAGTGTCTCAACATTTGTTGAATCCATCTTTGATTGTTTCTCAAGTGTGGATGAATTCTATATTTCTGCCGTTCAGTATTGATTCTTCAATCAGTTCAGGTTGTTAATTATATTTTTAAAAAAAAAACAAACTGAAAGCATAACAGATGCAACTGTGTTGTCTCTGGAATGTGAAATAATAAAAACTGTAATCTACAGGCTCCTATTGGTGATGTCTTTTTTTCTTTTTCTTTTTTAAAGATTATTTTTTGGGCTTTTTTGCCTTTATTGTATAGGACAGAGTGGGGGCTGACATGCAGAGATGGTCGCAAGCCAGAGTCGAACCTGCGACCACTGCAGCGACGCATCACCTCTGTACATGGGGCACTGGCACTATCCACTACAATACCGACGCCCTGGTGATATCTTTTTTAATGGATTGTTGTGTGGAGTCCTACAATGTTGCATTCATGAAATCATGTGAAAAAGGCTTTGGGAATCTTAAATCTTTATTTGTTAGATGCACCAAGAAAGAAATAGTAGAAATACCAGGGAAACTGGTGGTTTTTCAGCCTGGATCCTTTTTTGCTGTATTTTTGTGTCTTAGTGACTCGTGGGAACAAACATTTTTGAAATTGGTCCAGCATTGAGTGCTGAGAGAGTGCTGCAGCTGTAGTAGCAGAACAGGCTGCAATGTAACCACTTAGGGCAGGTTCGCCCCTTCAATTTACATTCACTAAAAGTGCTCGTTTTTGCCACTGACAGGCTCATTAGTTTTACAAGTGTCTGACAACATTACTGAAAGGACACCAGAGAGAAATGAAAAGTTTTTCCATACCTTTCGTGTGTTCTTGTCTGTTTTGATTCCTAGTCTCACTAAAGGAGAAGTCGTGTTCTGAAATCTCAGAGGAAGTGTTGCAGCAAGAAAACAGTAGAAACAGGAGGGAAAGTTGTAAGAGACAGAGAGTCTTACAGTATCTAAAAGACTTTCAGTGTCATGGCTGAATATGTAGCTGATTCCTACAACATGAAAAAGTCTGCAGGAGTTCAGGAGATTTCTCCTTTAGTGAGACTTGGACACAAAACAGACTGGAACAAGCTAAAGGTACAGAAAAATGTTTAATTTCTCTGTAAGGTTCTTTCTGTAATGTTGTCAGACACTCATAAGAACAATTTGAGCCTATCAGTGGCAAAAACAAGCTCTTTTAATGGATGTAAATTTAGGGGTACTCCTGCCCCAAGTGGTTACATTGCAGTCTTTTTCACCGTGGGCTACAGCACTGTAGCTAATTGTTGTTTCTATAAGTCACTTAGATATAAAAGCATGGCAAAAATTTGGATCCAGGTTGAAAAATACCAGTGTTTCCCTCATCACGCACAAGATGGTGCACACATTTAGCAGATAAAAACAAAACATTTTAACTTTCCCTTAAATTGAGGTAAAGACAATAGTCAAAGTTCCTACATTGTGTATGGCAGTGAAGTTACTTTTACAGCCAAAATCAGGGGCAGAATTTGTACTTGTAACATAAATGTGTGTCTTTGTCAGTGTTGTAGCTTTGAGTGCTGATATTCAAGCAGTTTTCTGCTTCAAATCTGTACTCAGGTATTCATAAAGCACATCGGTCTGTGGAGCCTCATCACTGATATAATTTGTGCACAATTCTTTTCTACATATCCAAGAACTTGAATTTCTTATTGAGGTTTTTTTAATTACAAAAGTGGACCTTTTGCATTTGAAACGACAGACTATTTGGGCAAATAAAAATGAAATGAGTCAACACTTTACTTAAATGAATAAGAGTGTGTGAATGTAAAACAAGCTGAAAAGGACTGTGCACGATCACTCAATTTTCTGCAGCTGAATAGAGATTAAAAATGATTTTCATGTAATATTTGACTGTTTAAATTGGCCTCTGTAACTTCTCAGCTCCAGTGCGAGGCCGGCTCCAGAGGCTGCATGGAGGCCAGTGAGAACATGGGCGAGGTGATGTTGCTCCTCAGCGGGCTGTACCAGTCCTCATGCTGCCGCTGGGCGGCTGGTTGGGGTGGGATGCTGGGGCAGGGGCACTGGGCCGCCGGGCCTGGGTGGTGGGAGTATGCCCCAGAGGGCAACATTGGGGGGAGGCGGGGGATGTGAGCCAGAGGTTGGGTGTAGTACTGTCGAGCCATGCTGGGCGGCTGGACATGCATGCCTCCCAGCAGCGCCCTGTGGCCCGGCAACACACCCACTTGGAGAACTTTGTGTGAAGCCCGCTCTTGCTTCCGCTGTTTGGCTCTTCTGTTCTGGAACCAAACCTGCTGAGACAAGGACAAATTAAAGACAAAGCCAAGGTTAGCTGGCCTGCACCTCTTGGTACAAGTAACATCTGTCAATATAATTCAATTTAAAAGTGTTAACAATTAAGCATTTGTTTTACCACTGAAGCAAAAACAACACTTCGGCATGTGTTCAGGGAAAGTTAACCTCCAAATGAATTTATCACTAAATACAATTTACCCAACTATTGCACTATTGCAGAGTTTTCAATAAAGTCATGTTGATTCTACTCACATTTCAAAATAAAACGCACAATATCATATTTCTTTTTCTTGGAAACTGTACTTTGACTGCTGTCCAACCAAGTTTGGTTAAAGAGGAACTTCACCCACAACATGACCATGTGTGTATCTGTTACTCACCCCATGTTATGTTGAATTTGTGAAGAAAATTTTGCTTTGCCTCCACGGTGAACGAAGAATCCAAAAAACAGAAAATTCTTAGTAAATTGGAGTAAAAGGGGGGCCCACGTTTGAACTCTGTCCATGCATGAGCCGAGTTCAAACACATGCTACATCATACTGCACAAGTTGTATGAGAGTTTGTCAACGGATGTTTTGATTTTGTTGTGCTGACATTAGACATGGCCCTCTTTTACTCCAATTCATCAAGAATTTTCTCAGTTTTTGGATTCTCCTTTCACTGTGGAGGCATGTGAGAAAAACAAATGATATATATTTACAAATGATCACTTTGTGGTTGAGTATTTCTTTCAGGTGTTATCCATAGACTTTAATAACGGACGCAACCACCATGACGTCAGCCACTGGTTTGTGGACTCCCATTTGGAAACTCGAGTTTGGCATTTTGATTGTCACCATGTTGGATTTTTGGAGCCAGAATTGAAAGTATTTGGATGAGAGGCTAGAGCTAACCTAACGCTAGCTGCTAGCTTGGTTAGTGATAATGCTAAGGCAAATTTCGCTTGCAAAAAACATACCTAAAACCATTAAAACACAATGTAGGGTACTTTTCATAGGCAACCAAAACGTTACAATGAACTTTCATGATCTGAAAACGCACTGAAATAGCAACAGCTACGGCTGCGACTATTCCCTATGAATCTGGGGGTTATACCATGGTTACATTACCTAACCAATGGTGTTGTCTTGGTAATGACTCATTCCTCAAAGCAGCCACGCCCTACATGCACAATTTTTAGTCTTAATAAAAACTGAATTAAACATGTTTATTTCTACTATAAAGTTGGCCATTTTTAACTTGCTCAAAGACTAATTGGCGGAACTGAAGATATTGGCACTTCTGTGTTGGCTTCATTTTTCAGCTCCAAAGTTTGGCACTTAGTATTAGCAAAACTGAAACCTGAGATTTTCATTTTTTTGGTCTCATATCCTCTGAACATAGGAGTGACTTAATAAAGTCACAGCTGAACTTCATGGCTGTCAGAAACTTGTCATTCGTAACTTGAGAGCTATATCCCACCTGTATGCGAGCTTCGTTGAGCTTGGTGACACGAGCCAGCTCTTCTCTGCAGTAGATGTCAGGATACTGGTTTTGTCCAAAGGCCACTTCCAGCTGTTCCAGCTGCTTGTGGCTGAAGGTGGTGCGGTGTCGTCTCCTGGCTGGGGAAGGGTAGGCCCTGCTCCGCCTGCCAAGGCTGACACCCATGGAGGTCTCACACAATGACCCTTTCCTCACCGACTCTCCTATATCTGTTTTCAGGAGGGAGAAAAAGAGTTTGCATAGATGCTGAAAAGACTTTTACTCTTACAGAGAAAAATCTCCAGCTCCTGTTTCTTGAATTACTTGGCATGATACAAAAAATGGCCAGGACCTGTAAGGACGCATTTCACCGATGACTGTCTCAAAAAAGAGGGATTACGCTGACTTTATGGTTCCCACTGCCACCAGGCAACCTGAGAGCCTCAGAGCTTTAGCTGCTAAAGACGAGCTCGTGAGAAAAAGATACTAGAAACTGGAGGATTTGACCAAGATTATTACCACAAAGTGACTAATCTGACAAATTGATGTACTGAGTTGACCTTGTCTGTTCACATCGGTAAGAGCAGTAAGAGAAGAGACAGAGAGGGCTGATTTGATGATAGGTATTAAAATTGTAAACTAATCTGTCTCACAAAGACTTTTATTCTCTTAGTTACTTTAACCAAACCTGGTTACATATCCATATGGTTGAATTTGATTATTTAGGACAAAACTAAAGGACTTGAATGCTGTTAACAAAGTAAACATTTTACATTGCTAATTGGCAACTTGGCTAACTAATAAACTATTAGGGACAGAACAATAGGATGTTATGTAAGGCTAAAAGCTTAATTTTAAAGCATCTACGAGGCAACATGTTGTGCCAGTATCAAAAGTGACATATATAACAGTTTTGATGTTAAATAAATTCAATATGGTTTACAGTCCTCTACAAAACCATGTTTACAGCTTGTAAACCATCATGCAACACTATAACTTCATACTAGTTGAATGAGACAACACCTGCAAAAAGTAACTTAAATAACTTTCAAGAAACATGCAACAAAAATTGCCAGAAATTTACTTTTTCTGCAGGTGAAAACATGGATGACATGATGGACTGATAATAAACAGACTAATACACATTTACATACAGTATTTTTCTTTACTCACCTGCGGTGGAGCTAACAGTAGCCATGTCAGAGTAAAGCTCTGCACAGTCCTGGTGGCTCCTTGATGCGCCTCCTGCTACCTTTACCTGGGCCATCACTTCAGGTCTGCTCACTGATGGGACGACCTGCACCGTCTGAACCCACCGACAGACATATGTCGTGCCCCATGTCCCACCCACCTGATTTACCTTTACCTGTGTGAGTGTCTGCGTCAGTCGGGAGGTTTGTTGGCACTTCCTACCGTTCCTTCATTTTGCAGAATGCCTTTTTAAGACACTAAGAGAAGAAACCATAAACTTTTTGCTTTTTGACTATTCTGGTAGTAAATGCATAGAAATACATTAGTCTGGACAAGTTTATGAAACATTGGCGGGTGATGAAGAACTGAGGCAAACTCATTAAAACACAATACAGTTCTTCTTTATGAGGTGCAGTAACTTAATTTATGTACATCCATGCATTTTTATCCCATTTTAACTGCATATATTGGCAATGAGTGTATGAAGTGTATGTACAAATGTGAGTGGAATGGAGACATTTATCTATTATTTGTATTACTATTTCATTTTATTAGTATTTATTACATTATCTATTACTTACAATGACAATAAAGAAATCTGAATCTGAGTCTCTGCTGCAAACTTCACCATGCATTTCATACAGGTCTAATTTCTTCTCCTGCAGGTGGAAATGTCACCAAGGGATTTTATTTAGATGTTTAAGATATCTATATTTGTCCAGGGTCTTTGTTGCATCCATTTTCCATATTAAATGGCCGTCATGTATAACAAAGTAGAGCAAATAGCTGCTATTTTAAAAATGTGTTGTGTAGACTTTTTCTGTTTAATTATGGAGATACAGAAATACAAATCTTATTTATTCCTTTGTTTTCTCTATTCCACAGAAATACATTTGCATCCCCTGTCCTTGGTTATGGCTTTATAATTTAGCCTGAAAGAAATATTGAATAAATGAGGCTAAAAAACAAAACAAATCTGATCAGACAAAAAAGCCTGTAAATTTACATGTATGTGCCTATGTGTGTCCTGTATATACTGTACATCAGAGCTTTAGTAATGATTAAACAATAATATAATACCTGATAATATATCAGTAACAGGAAACATTCTGTTGCATATTGAGTACTTTTTGGTACTTTTAGTACATTTTGCTGACAGGACTTATGTACTTTCACTTAAGTAAGATTTTAAGTGCAGGACTTTTAGTTGTAATTAAGTATTTTTACATTGTGGTATAACTTGGGGGGGTAACTAGTTACATGTAATTAAATTACAAATAGATGTAATTGTAATCAATTACAGTTACTGAGAAAAACAGCATGTAATTAAATTACACTAATAATCAAAATGTGATTACAAAAAGGTTACCTCTTAATATATTCTTTACTGTATATGTGGAATATATTCATTTTGTTGCTTTGCATCTTTTTACTGTACTGTTTCAGCTTTAAAGCTCAGTTTAAAACATTTGTCAGTAAAGTAATCAAATATAATTAGTTACATTACTTTGATGAGGTGATTCAAATATTTCCAAAACTTATTATATTGTATTATAACAGGGTAAATAGTAATCTATACACTATTATATTATATTATATTTCAAAAGTGCCTTCCTAACATTGATTACTATGTGATTAAAGGACCATAATAGCCTCTTTCCACTGGTGCTTATGTCTGCATTTAGACTGACACATAGGTGTAGAAGTGTTTGTTTGTATATTGCATCTTCATACATGAGTATGAAAGAACACTGTTCACTTCATGGGTTGTTTCTGGTGAGATGTAGCTCCCTATGTGGCCACCAGATGGCTCTGTGATTCCAGGCAGAGATGAACTGTAAACTGACTGGCAAAATCTTACATAAGCAAAAGGCTGAATCCTCATCTGTCTCTATTTTGACACAGAAGGGTGAGCGTGGAGACCTCCCCAGCTGAGTACACTCCCCAGTCTTCTACAAACACAACCTCTCTCAGGTCCGTCCAAGCGTTCGGTCCACCGTACCTTGACTGACAGGGCAGGATGGCTGGATTAACTCAGCTGAACTCCTGCGTGACCTCTCAGGACCCCGGCTGCTATCAGTGGTTCCCATGATGCTAAACTCAGTCCAGGGCTGATGCACAGAGGAATGGCCCTCTCACACTGGGCTGGATACTAGGAAGAGACCCATTAATGTCCCACTCAGCACTGAGTCATGACAGGACAGCATGGAAAGCAGCTCACATAGTTAGCGAGCAGCAGCTGGCCTTTTTATCAGGGCTCAAACAGGACAGTAATTCATCCAGGACTATATTTATTAAACAATGCTATTTGCCTCTGTGTGTATATGTGTATATATCTAGAAAGTGGCAGCAATGTGTACTTGAAAACTCTACTAATGTGTGTTGGGCAAACGCAGCTTATCCAAAGAGGCTAGTTGGTAGATCAGATTTCTAATTTGATCTAATTTCTAACAGTAGGCTGTGTTTGAGTCTAAGTAGCTGCTCTCCGTCTTGTGTAACATATCATAAGCCATTTGACCTCAGCGATTCATGCGACTCCCAAGAACCAGTAAATCATAAGTTCAAACACGGACTGGATATGTGTCACACTGATACAGTAGATTGTCCCTCCCCCCCAGGCCAAAGATCCTTGCCAGGAAAGTGTAATAGACAAAATGCCGTGATTGAAAGACCTGAGTTAGACGCAGTCCTGCTGTATAGCATCTTTAACATATGAGAGCTCTTGTTGACAAATTATCCTTGAGACTGAACCAACTTTACGGTAGATTCCAGGAGAAAATCCCTGGCCTTGTTCTGGCCGCTCTGCACGGCAACATCTAATTTGATTCCTTGTGACATGTCGTCTCCGAGGGCCAAGTCAGTCCTGTGTGTCCTGGAAGAGCTTCCATCTTTCCAGCACTGTGCGTGTGTGTGTGTGTGTGTGTTTGTGTGTTTGTGTGTGTGCGCTTGTGTGTGTGTGTGTGTGTGTGTGTATGTGTTTGTGTGTGTGCGCTTGTGTGTGTGTGTGTCATAACCCCCCCAGCAAAGCACACTGAGCCTGTCTGTGTTTTCTGTCTGTGACTCCACTTCTGTTTATACCCTAATAAATACCATATACAGCAAAAGTCACCACTCTTAAAATTCTTAAAATCTTTTTATATTTGTTATTAGGATAAATGTTTTGAGGAGTTGCCTCTCCTTACTGAGAGATTTTAGCTCTTCATTGAGGAAAAAACAGCTACTAAGTTGGATCAATGTATAGAATTTTTATATTTCAAAATCAGGACCATATTTTGCAGAAACCCCAGATTTCCTGTCTCAGAGAGGATGTTACCATATGTCTTCTTTTTTATCCCAGATGTGGGTCTACAGGAATTTGGTTGAAAGCACACAAAGCATGAGGGTAACATTTGGCATTAGAGTAGTGGAACTGAAGTAAAATTTGGATTGGTAGCTGCCATAAAGTGATTCTTCTTTGTGCTACAAAGCACTACAGCAGTTTTTCCTGTGGATGCTAGAGTGGATGCTACACCTCTGTGACAACGCCAAACTGCCAAACGTGGCAGCAATGAGCTAGCCAGTGGGATACACACATTCACTAAGATGCACGTGCAGCCAGACCAGCTTACCACAACAAACCACAGAGAAACTCGAATTACAACACTAACAGAGGTAGTGTTACATTCTCTGCCCAAGACGCTATGTCACTATAGCTTTACATAGCAAATAGGCTAGTGGTTTGCTGCTACATTAATGGCCTCTGTGATACATACAGAACCTTTAAAGCTGCTATAATCACTGTATAATAATATACCAACATGAGTAACTATTCCTTGACAGCACTTTCCCTCAGCCCTATGTTTGTGTTAGCGAAATCAGCCCAGCAACAACAAGCAACAACAGACAAAGTTAGTGATTAGCTAGTGAACATAGTGAAGCATTTAGCAGCTAAAGAGCAAGATATTTCCTTCAAGAGGTGGTGGAGACTAAAAACAGAGCTAAAAGGAGGGTGAATGTTGGACTTACATCTATCAAGGAATCAGAGACATGACTTTAAATAAATTCTAAGCTGCTCTGAGTCTGTTGAATCTGGAAAAAAAAAACTTGACTGCTGACAAGTTGGTGAAAATTCTCAGTCATCCAGGTCATGGTTATCTTAGGTGCTATTTCGCATGGAACTGGACTTGCTTGAGTTTCTTGAAGATGTTTCACATCACATCCAAGAGGCTTCTTCAGAGCTAATTGACTGGTGTGGAGTCCCAAGCTTTTAATCATGTGTGACACATGGGTCACACATGGACAGACAATAAATTTTGGTTGGAATGAAAATTGTCTGTAGACATTGGTAGATAATCTGTTTATAATTTATCAAGGCTTAAAATTATACATAATGAAGAGGCTTGGCCACTTGGAGTGACAGGCTGTCTGCGAGGCGTCACGTCTGAGTCAGATCTACTCCCCACTCTTCCACACCTCCAGCCTCTTGTGTGAATTTGTTCAGTTCTGGCTCCAAATAATCCAAGATGGCAACGGTCAAAATCAAAGAACAAAATGAAAGTACACAATCAGTGGGTGACATCACAGTGGCTACATCCATTGGGTCTCATTCATGAAACGTGAGCAGAAGGAATTTGTGTGTAAACTGTTCGCAGACGGAAATTTACGTGCATGTCTGCATTCATCAATATTTTAGTAGCTCCAATCTTTTCGTAGCTACTAACAAAATCTACTCCTGCTCCTGACCACTCGTAGTGCTTGTGTAAATTTAGTAAAGCACATAAATATTGCTTTTCACTATTGGAAATTACAATTTTAATTCATATTGCGCTCTGTTATGTACACAATACACAGATGCCTTTGAATCACGTAATCTTAACATGACAAAATATTAAAAATATAACACATTTAGTTAAATTAGTTGGCAATTAGCAGGTTTAAGATCCAGATTAGGTTCATGATTGTGAATTATCTATGTAAATCGACTCAACAGATTACACGTTCTTTCTACATGTTGAATGATGATAATAAAAATATCCGTAAGGACAGCCGGATCACAGCCTCTTCGGCCTCGGTGCCTGGGATCAGCA